TATATATATATATATATATAAAATATATATATATATATATATATATACATACATAGTGATGGTCGTATAATTAGAAACACTACAAACGGTCCTTGACATTATATAAGAAACTTCACCGCAATCGTTTTTATTTTTTTATTTTTGAAATTAAACAATAAATAGGACAACAATAGGTTCAACGATTTATTATTTATTAGAAAAACAATATAAATCCCACTACACAAGTGCAGTTTCAATATTACATTACGGACAAACACATAAACAAATAATGGACAACTAATTAGAAACAACAACAAAAAAAGTGTAAAAAAACAACATTTTTTTTAATTATTAGCAATTAGTATTTTTATTTACGAAATAGCTACTATCCACAGCCTACCAATATTTATAATTAATATTTAGTGGCGTATCCCTTATTTTCAATAACAGCTCTGCAACGACGTGACATTTATTCAATCAATGTCATACATTTTTTTAGGGGGATTGAATTCCATGCTTCAACAAATGCTTCAAATAATTCGTTTTGACTGGTGTTACGTTTGTTTGAGACTTTCTTCTTAACAATATACCACAGATTTTCTATCGGGTTTAAATCCGGACTTTTTGCTGGCCAGTCTAAAACGGATATACGCTGTTCGCTAAGGAAACATTTGACGCTATTGGCCGTGTGTTTAGGATCATTGTCATGCTGAAAGATCCAGGTTACAGGCAAATGATCGTCCGAGTAGAGAATCATTGTGTCCTCTAAGATATTTTTGTACTGCCATTGATCTATTGTACCTTCAATCTTCCGAACGGAACCAACTCCACATCCGGAAAAACACCCCCAAACTTTAATGTTTCCGCCACCGTGCTTGACTATGCTCCTTGTGTATTTATAATTAAAAGCACTGTTTACAGGACGTCTAACACGGCGCTTTCCATCTGAATTTACCATGTTTATTTTCATTTCATCTGAAAATAAAACTTTTTTCCAGGCTCGTACCGTCCAATGAACATATTTTTTTGCGAATAATAATCGCTTCTCTCGATGTTGTTGGTAAGAAGCGGTACCTTTCGAGAGGTTCTTCCAAACAATTTAGCTTCCACTAATCTTCGGCGTATCAGTCTTGATGAGACGGTTCTGGGGTCATCAGGCGAAAAAACTTCATTTTTAATCTGGTTTGAGCCTTTAAATGGGTCTTTTTTAGCAACACGAACGATTAGCTTATCTTCTCTGGGAGAGGTTTTTCTTGGCCGAGCCTTTCTAAGAACATTTTCAACAGTTCCGTGTGTTTTATAGTGATCAATTGCATTAAAAACTTTCTTCACAGAACAATTTAAATGCTCAGCTATTCTTCTGTACGTCCATTTTTGATCAAAATGTAAATTAACAATTATTTGCCTGGTTGACGCGTCACAACTTTTATTTTTGCCCATTTTGAACAAAATTAAATTCAGATCAAATTGCCATTTGCAATTGCAATTTGAATTGCCGCCAAATTAATAGAAAACATCAAGAAAGAAATGTTATTCTTCAATTCCAAAAGAAGAACGAGCTATGGATGCTTTTTTCAAATGTTTCTAATTAGACATCCAAGCGGCCAGGAACAGAAAATATACTCGTACATTGTGTAACACTCATTTTATAATTAAATGTAAGATATGTTTTATTTTTTATGCATTTAATGATTTTTTATTTAAGTGGCTACATTATTGCATGATTATTTATTATTGAATTTATATATTTTTCACGAACATTTGTACGTTGAAGTTAAACTTCCTTCAATCATAAGAAGTGTTTCTAATTAAACGACCACCACTGTGTGTGTGTGTGTGTGTGTGTGTGTGTGTGTAATATAAATATATATATATACAGATGGATGTATTATTCTCTCTATGTGTATCAAGATATCGCCACACTTATTAAAAGATTTGAGAAACAGATAAGTGTGGTCACTCCCTTACTTAAGTTTAGGTGTACTCAGCTTTTCCCGATCTTTGATTATTGGTAGTGTCAAATTGTACAGCGTCCCCTAGCGGCCAAAAGTAATATAAAGGGATCGTTTCATATTTAACTTACGGATATACGGAGTTGTCATCGCCATTGATACGTTGTACGCGCACGTGTGTAGTAGTTGTGTACGCAGTGATATAACCACATGTATATACAAAGTGTGTGTCACACTCGATATGGATTACTATCCAAGGCGTCAGCAGGGGGGGGGGGGGGGGGGGGTTGCAGAGTGTGGGGCGTCGCGGCTGGCTTCTGTGCGGGAAACCAATATCTCGATCCATGTTGATAGTTTGACAGGCGTTACAATTATAACTGACCGCGCGGAAGTATGAACAAGTGCGAATTTGTTATTTATTTATTTATTTGATGTGTCTGGAGATCTGACAACCTATAAATCATATCCTTGGTATCGTAAAGTCACATTTGATCGCGCGTCAATAGTTCTTTTATCACATTAAAGTCGTAAAAACAATATGAACTGTGGTTCATTTCACATAGTACAGGTTTCTAAGGATGTAGTGATGTAAAATCGAATGAAAAAAAATCGATTTAAATATCTTATCGAGATACTTTGAAACGAAGAGAGAATAGATTTTAGGACAATAATTTAAGAACAAGTAGCAAACAAGAAGGATAAGAAGGATTCGATTATTATGTTATTCAGTTGCAAAAAAAAACTACCGCGACAAATAAAACAACAACAACAACAACCAAACAAACAGTCAACAACAACGTTTAAAATCAGCAGTATTGAAACGAGACACAATTGCCAACTCAAGTTTTTCGATTCTATGGTGTCAATTTTAAAATACTCCATTTTACACGTCAAGTAGTAGGAGTCATATATTTTTATCTTTATCATTTAATTTTCTATCAACTTAACATACTGCAATTTTCACTTAAAATTATAAGTCCAGCAAATATTGTCCATTTCTGATGTATTATAACAAATTTACTATTTCTTTTTGTGAGCTAATTGAGAGATTGGTTTAAAATTATGTATATGCAATGTAAAACATTTGAAATGTCACAGTGATTAAAAAATTACCAAATATTTTCGTTCGTAAAATCTTTAAACCTCTCTCCTGAAAAGTTGTGACTTTGCAGATGTGACTTTATTACATCAAGTGTATGAAATGACGCTACAAAGAGTCATTATGAGTTTTTCCTTTCGAAAGGAGTATGAATATACTACAAAGAGATTCATCGAAGCTACTCATAAAGCACGCAACAATATTTGCAAATTGTTAATTGGTGCTGGAGTTCATTTTGAGCACGAAAGTTTTTATTGGAACTTTGTTGAAATTAATCGTTATTATTTTTAAAACCGCGTCCACTACGCCAATTTCGTGAACATGTTTGGTGGACGTGTACACCAAACAAACCGTCTGTAGGTTGTATTTAAGTTGACATTTAACAAAATAAGTATAATTATTAATACAAAGATCGAACACTTAGAAAGAAACCCTAACCGGCTGGATGCGAACTAGTGTTTTCTAGCTAGACGCTATGCCAACTAAGCCACAAAATGAACCAGCGCACCTTACGAATTTTTCTATGTGCTTGTTGCAGATCTTTGTTTTTTGGTTTTTAACGACTTTTTTGCCGTAGCGCCATTTTAAAGGGAGCTATATACGCAATTTTATATCGTTATCCTTGTTCTTCATAATGTATAACAATGGTTCTTTGTCACATAAACAAAAAAATGAATGACACTAGTGCAGTATCTTACCAATTCAGTATTCACAATAAAAAAAATAAAGTATTAATAGTGACAACGTAGCTTTATCGACTGCGATAAATATGTCACGGGAAGGTTTGTCGCATGCGTTATACCGCCATGCTACCATGCTGATGTCAGAAAACATACGTGGGATATAGGGCTCGCTTGCATGCGAGATTATAAAGTCTGATCAGTATGTCATGTGTCCATTCATCTACTAAGAGACAGAATTTTTACGACAGTCGTAAAACTGTAATACACTTGCTTCGGTGCGCTCGTTAGATCTAAGATGGTACAGTAGTTTTTTTTATGGCGAACTAAGTTTGGATTCATATTTTACCGTTAAAAATTATAAAAATATAGTGAATATAAGTTTTCGGTAAACAATTTTACCTAGGCCCATTGTCTATAAGGCACTGTTCCCACGTACTACTTTTAAAAAAACAGCTACAAAAGTGAAACAAATTAATTTGTATGGAAACGCGTAGTTTCATTCATACATACGTCAACTTGTTATCACACGCACGGTACGTGTCAACAGAGACTTATCTAAACACAATATAAAAATTATCCAAGACAATATTGTTTAATAAAACCCGTCACACACGAGAGTGTTGTGTTTATACCTCCTGTACGTGATAGTCATCACAGCTGTAACGCTCTCGTGTATGGCAGGATTTAAATAATACTTACTTATAGCCTATGTACACGGCATATTTTTTTACACGCAGATGACGCGCGTTTACGGCACCGTAGAGGCTCTAAAAACAGATTGTAGCGTATGTATAGATTCAAGCACGCGTACAAAGCTGCACAAACGTGTGCGAGAAACGTGTTCGAAGCCGTTTTTATCGCGTTTGAAGTAGTTCAACTACAACAACATCGCGTTGCAAAGCGTGTATGGCGTCACCGTTTGTTTACTGGATGCGACTGAATCGCGGTAACGCGCGTCATCTACGCGTAAAAAAAAAACGCCGTGTGCACAAGCTCTTAGGTGGGGGCGTCGTTTGTAGGACAGTAATAATGACAATCACATTTACCCAGAGGGCATACCAAAAGTGTTCTACTTGGGAACATGTGGAGGTCGATACAACGCCATGGTCATGGAGTTGTTAGGCCCCTCACTCGAGGACCTATTCGTTCATTGCGGCCGGAGGTTCAGACTCAAGACGGTCCTTATGATCGCTATGCAGCTCGTAAGTGCACCAGACATCATGAGTAGATTGTCTCTTTGTCTGACACGACACCGAAACCGATATTTTAAAATACTAATGCCGACAAGTTTACACAGACTGCGCCCTTGTAGAGTGGGAGGGGCAGAATGATATTTCTTGGACAAAACATAGATGTTTCAGTCTTAAGTCGTAATCCACAGCGGGACTGCCGATAAAATTTCGGTATTTTCATAAATAACGTTCTCCTATTGGTTATTCAAACGTGTCACCTCTACTTTTTAAAAATATAGTTTTTTTTGGGATTTTTTTCACTCCAGTCTGCCCCTTGCGCGGCGTAGTCCCTGTTCATTTGTCGAGTGTCTACATCGCGATGGCTACCATGATCATGACGCTGGAGGTGCCATTTTTTATTTTCTCATTAGTTTTTATGTTTATTATTTTTTCACGATACATTGCTCTCGCGGGTTATGTTCGATGAGTGAGTGATTTTAAAATATCGGCTGGCGTGTTGTGTCGTGGAGGTGCGAGCGAGAGCAATGCTCGTGTTACTATGTGAGTACTAAACATTTATTTTTTGTCCCCGTCTCTCCTTCCTCGTCCCTGTTTCCTTTCCACTTTAGCACCGTCAACGGCGGAAGGGATCCCGGAGGTGTACTACTTCGGTCCTTGCGGTAAATACAATGCGTTGGTGATGGAGCTATTGGGTCCGTCACTCGAGGATCTTTTCGACCTGTGCGGCCGTCGGTTCTCTCTAAAGACTGTCTTAATGATCGCTATGCAGTTGGTACGTATATCTATCTAAGTAGCCTACAGTTAAATTACTCAGTAATTAGTTATGAAATGAGAAGATCGATTCCCTCGTCTCAATTGTCAAAGAAAATATTTTAAACTGCCACGCGATCGAGTATTCGATTAATATTGAGAAATAATTGCATAAAGGCTGATTTACGTTACATTGTGCCGGGGCCGGGCCGTGCTCCTGTCGTAAGCCGGCCGTGGCACAGTAAAATATATACGTTATGCTTTTATATGAACTAATTCGTGTTCCGGTGGCGGCACGGACTCGGCCCGGTCTAACATGAATTAGTTGAAGCAAAAGCATAGTATAGATATTTGACCGTGCCACGGCCGGGACACGACCGAAGCACGGCCCGACCCCGGTACGATGTAACGTGAGCCTTTAAGGTGCCTACAGGTTTGCTCGATTTTTTGTGTCATCAAACAGAACATGTAAATTTGTAAGCAACAGATGATCGCCATCGTATCTTTTTTGATGAACATTGACCAGACAAAATCGATACCGTACTTTTTATTTATCGTCAACATATCGAGCAAGTCTGTAGGCACCTTTAAAATGATAGATCAAAAATGTGAATATGATTGGACATCGTTGAAGAATAATTGTATCGGGAGTTAGAAAAGGACGTACTTATTCAGTGACGTCATAAGCAAACGGAGCCATTCAGTTCATACACTAATAATTGTTTTGCTAAAAATGGGACAGAACACCCCCACATTGCTGACTATCTATTTTATTTCGTTTATAGAATACCTTTAAACGTATTTCAGATTCCTTTTCAGCATTTTTGAAGCAATTCAGTCAAATACTCGTATCGCCATAGTTCTACAACCATTTAATTTTTTTTTTTTTTTTTTGGACAAGCAATACAGATTAAATAACTTAAAATGTTATTCGTTCGTTTTCAGTTACATCGCATCGAGTATGTCCACACAAGACATCTAATATACCGAGATGTTAAACCAGAGAATTTTTTGATAGGTAGAACAGCAACTAAACGAGAAAAAATCATCCACATCATTGGTAAGTTGTTTAATATTAACACAACACTATGCAACACCTCATTCCTAATGACCAATTAAAAAAATACGCGTGCTTGGCCACAATGTCACCTGATGTAAGTGACTATGTGACCGGCAAGACAACGCGTTTGTTTAAAAAATGTCTATTCATTTTAACCTTGAATAGCCCTAAATTCAAACAACTAGTGTAACTTCATACAAATGTAGCAGCGCGGCTTGTATGTGTGGAGGTTAAATCATAGAATAGGTACGGACAACGGCACATCAGACTACACATTTTGTGTTCGAAAATCGCCTCCAGTGCAACGGAACAAGATACGTCAATGTGTAGCTGTGTGTACATACCGTCACAGGGATTCGATTCGTCGGCTTCTCAATTGAAAAGCAATCCATTTCCCCACTAGGCTATAACCGCTCTTTTTTATGATATCAATTTCGTAGCAGTAGAGCTCCTTGTGAAAGAGTGCGTCCAGGGAAGCACTGCCACCTTACCAGTGTCCGTCAGATCTTTGCGATTTAATACGTACTGGTGTGTAGCTTAACACCAGACGCACGACTTATACCGTAAATACCAGTCGCAGTGCCACTCAGAGCTTTAAATTGCAAGCTCTGAGGGGCACTGCGCCCGTCACCCTGAGACAAAGTTAACATGTGCCATGTGCCTGTAATTTCACCAGCACGCTTACCCTTCAAAACCGGAACGCAGTAGTGCTCATATTACTGCTTAGAGGTAGAAATTGGTAAGGTGTACACATAATGTACCCTGGTGCTAAATACCGTTAAATATAAAGATCGGCTGAGGTCCATTTTGCTTCCAAGTATAGTTACCCTGACACCTGATTCCTCTAATAGGTGACAATTGTGTCACAAAGTCGCAATTTAATATCTACGGCAGCAAGGTTTGCGGTTCAACCGCAACCACTATTTATACATGCATCCGGAACGCTCCATCTTTATGTCGTTGATTTGCCACCCATTGGCACCGAATGGTTTGCTTTTCTTCCTTTCTCAATGCGCATGGCAAAGGAATGAAATATACTTATTATAATACGGGATACAGGATACAAGTTTTTGGAAATAGAAACCATTACCTCCTCCATAGGAGGCAAGTCCTTTCTCAACTAAGATATCACTGCTCTTGTCTGTATCTGTACTAGTTTTTACCATATTAATAAAATAATTTTTCTGTTTCAGATTTTGGTTTAGCCAAAGAATATATAGACTTAGAGACAAACAAACATATCCCTTACCGGGAGCACAAGTCACTCACTGGGACCGCGAGATACATGTCAATAAATACACATTTAGGAAAAGGTACTATTTTTTATCTACATTCACATTGTTTTCTAATATTTAACCGCATTGATTCTATACATTGTGCATCTACGGTGAAACAGACTTTACTGCAAAATGTGAAAATGACAAGAATTAAATGTATGCGCAAAAACAGAGACACGTTATGCGTTTTAACTCTGTGTTCTGTAAGTTGTTGCAAATGTAAGTCACTGTTTCAGAGAAGGTGCGAGCGACCTAATTTTGAACAAAAAATGTTAGTCAATTTTGAAAAGTGCTATAAATAATTTTTAATAATTTTGTGTGAAATTTAGAATTTTAAAGACCCAAAAAACAATAAAATTCGTGCAGTCAAGTGAGCAAACTTGACGCCTTGGACCGTTCTTATTGTATGCGGTATAGAGTTCAATTTAAACCTTAAAGCGTGAATCACACTGACAGAGGGTGCGAGTCGGGCTCGCGTCGGGTCGGGTGAGCACGGCCGGGGTGATTTCGTGTGTTTATATGGACGACAACACACCATCCACGGTCACGGGACGAGCGCAGGTTGATGTGTTGTCGGCTGACAGCCGTGTATTTAAATGGTTATTTAAATACACGGAATTACACCCGCTGTGCTCCCGACCTGTTACGCGCCCGATCCGCACCTGTTCTCTTTGTTTCATGCTCAATTGTCAAATTTGAAGTGCTCTTGTCCTTGTACACGTACTGTCATAAAATATTAACCCACAAGATAAACGTTACTTAGAAGCAAGCAAGGAAATACCTTTAAAGTGTACTCATATTCATCATACGAAATGAAGGGACGAACAAGTCGTGCGTCTGGTGGCAAGAGACGCGTCTACTCATAACTGTTGCAGTGCAAACCGAACTTTAATCTGATCATAGTATTTCCATAACGCAGATAGAACTAAACAGCAACGCCTAAAACTTCGGCTTTCTCGCTTGCCCAATTTCAGTTTCATGCAAAACTTAATGAAGGATTTATTACCCATTTATAACCATATTATAAACCATAATCAATTATAAAAAAAAAACAAAATAATAGAAAACAAAATCAAAGAACTTGAATCAAAGATCATGAAATAAAAAATAAATAAATTTAACATTTGGGATGGGCAAATACATAGCCCTCGCTGTTATTCTGCCATAGCTTCTGACAGTATTGAATACAGCTAACAAAATATATATTTTGGCACAAATATTTGACTGTTAAATGCAAGTATTAATAATTTACACATACATAAAGCACTGAATTACGGATATAAGTGAAATAATTACATTTAATTTAAAGCAAAATAACAATATAATGTTTTATGTTTCAGAACAATCTAGACGCGACGACCTAGAGGCTCTCGGGCATATGTTTATGTATTTTTTACGTGGTTCCTTACCCTGGCAGGGTTTAAAAGCTGATACACTCAAAGAAAGATACCAAAAAATTGGTGACACCAAACGGGCAACACCCATTGAGGTATGTAACATGTTAATGAAAATTAACACAATAAATGTCTAAGGCAATTTCTGGATTGTGCTTTTGATCGGACGAATAGATCATTTATGTCAATCTATCATGGTTTATAACAGTCTTAGTAAGTACATTTTTTATATTAGGGTTCGCATGACACAATAGAAAATAGTATTATAAATACTATTAAAAAGATAACTAAATATATAAATTGTTAATAGGTAAATGCCAGAGTCACCATGTGTATAAGAAAAAATGAACAAAGTTTATTCTTCTATGTTGTTTATAATGTTGGAAAGTGTAAAGAGAATTGATAGGTGGAATTGATTGATTCATTGAGAATTGATTAATGAAACTTTGATAAGTTTCTCACAGGTGGCCCTAACGGCAACAAAAAACCGTTTAACGTTCACAAAGTTTACAAATATCTGCAACAAGCACATGGAGAAATTCATAAGCTTTGCTGAATCTGTAGTTTAGTCGAGCCAGTGGCCCTGGTATGGCAACAAACGTTGGTTCGAACCCAGTTATGTTAGTAATGAGAATGATAAGGTGGAAAAATACGCCATTAGAATTTAAGTTGAAACAAACGGCTCGAACTTGCGGCTTTCGGTCGTCGATGCTGGTGTTGTTTTTATCTGCCGACCCAAAAGTGATTGTTGGTGTCAAAGATCGAGCTATGGGTAGTTTGGGATTTGCTTTTAGTGCTAACTGCCTCCGTGGTCGAACGGTCGCCACGCTGATCTGCCACGCAGAGGTCTCGGCCGGCAGTGCTACTTCTGCGTGCACCATTTGTCGGCCCAAGTGCATAGTTAGCCCCTGCAGTTGCCCAGAGACGCCTTGTGCAGGTGCTGTGCGAGGGGCACCCCGAGGAGCTGGCCACGTACCTGCGCTACGTGCGCCGGCTGGACTTCTTCGAGACGCCGGACTACGACCAGCTGCGGCGCATGTTCCGCGACCTGTTCGAGCGGCGCGGCTACGTGGACGACGGCGAGTTCGACTGGACCGGCAAGACCATGGTGAGTCCCCTCCCCGCCCCGCCCGCCGTCGTCGCTCCCCCGCGGCGCCTCCGCTCCTTCTAAAGCACCCTGCACGCTTTGTTTCAGGTCGCCTCTCACTGAAAGATATACCGACTAACGTTTTTTTAAACACTCGCTTCCATTCAAATTGTGAACGTTTCTTTAGTAGAGCGCCGCCGTTGACGCGACCTTACGCGGAAGTTTTTTTAAATTTGTAACATCCGAGCCGTTCAATTTTGTTAATTCTTTTTAACAAAGCGTAAGTCCTCGTAACGGTCGCGGATCCTCGCCCTCCCCTGACGCACACGACCACGGACGGGTTTTATGGTTAACATTGTTCAAGTGCACGGCGATGACGCTTCCGTGTGTGTAACGAGCTTCGTGGTTAAACTGCGCATTTTTTAGTGTATTTAGCATTCTTTTTAACTTTTTTGGCAACCACCGTGTTAACAAACTCTTTCTTTCTTTGTCAAGGTACTTAAATTTTACCATTTATACATTTAACAAGTACGCATCGACGGTCTCAGCGAATTTAACGAACGCTTCTGTTTCAAAGCGACAAATTTTTAGTTTTATTTTGTAATTTCTTTTTGCTTATCGCTCGCATGAAATATTATTTTCTTAAAAACAGAAATTAGTTTGTCCTGTGACATTTATACACTGCAACGCGTCGAAAATAACTGCATGACGCATTTCGTAAAACTATAGCGAAAATGTCTTTCAAACCAATCTCAATTATCTGGTATGGCTTGGAAAAACTCTATTGACGACATTGACAATATAGTCGAACTCCACAGTACCAAATAACATTAGGGACAAGGCGGGCGGATTTCAATCACGTAATTTATGCTAGATTGATTGATTATTCCCGACTTGCCCCTAGCTTAAGGACCGATTTACACGAGCAATGTAATATAAAAATGCACCTTAGTCACATTGACAAGTTTCAAAATGGAATTTCGTTCTAATTACTTAACTCGTGTAAACCGACCATAAGAAAGCTTGTTTAAGGACAACTTCAAATTAGACGCTTGTAGAACACTGCGCGGCTGCTCCATAGCAAAACCTAGTAAGTGCTTTAGACAAAATTTGACAGGAGAGCCCAAAAACACAAATCAAGTTCGCCCTTTTACTTTATTGTAAAAAAAGTAATTAGGTAAGTAAGGTACGAATCAAAGAATATATTGTTGTGACAAAAATGATCACAACTTATATATTACACATTTTATACCTTTAATAATTTTAAATATTTATTGTACATAAGTTACTGTAGCTGCCAGAATCAAACAAAAAAAACACAATATAATATAAGCATTTGCTAGGTTTATAGTTATTTTGCTAGGTATTTTGTTTAGTTATTGCATTAGACAATTTGGAATAAAATTTGATTTTGTTTGACGAAATTATTAAACAACTAATATTTTCAGAATCAGTAAAGTTCCACTATCCACTAATTGCCAATTCAAATACCTTGTAAGGCACTTTAAGTACTTGTCAACAAGTGTCAAATACTTGCTATATTTTGAATTGGTTGAAGGGCTTAAAAGATTTTTAGTTGGTCACTAACCAGACTAGATGTGCCTTACTAAGTTCTTAAATACTCGAAATATCTGATAAATTGTAGAATTTTGAAGTGGCTGTCACCGCTATTAAGTAAGTACTTATTATGGGAGTGATATTCCGCTAAATAAATATTTTCAAACAATTTGTACGCTACTAGGTTTTCGCACAATATTTAGAAGCGCAGCTGAAGCGCCACATCCGCGCTTCTACAAACGTCTAGTTTGAAGACGCCCTTAGTTTAAGTTACTTATGCAAGAACTTGCACGAGGACGCTGCACTCATGCCAGTTTTTGTAGCGAAAAACTTCAAAGTCCATGCAAATGTGAGCCAATGTCTTCATGCAAGTTCGTGGAATGGGAGCGCTGCTTGAGGTATGCATTTTGTCAAAATATTATATTGCAAAAACTCACGCTACAAAAATGCGTCAAATCTGTAGTTTCAACATACAGTTTTGACATTATGCTTAAATGCTTTTTTATAAATAACACTTTGTGAAATCGACATCGATAAACTTCAACTACGACAAATCGTACAAAGATTTATGTTTGTCGATAGTATTGGCCTTCATCATCATTTTACAAGGAAAATTCAGAGTGATTAAATACCAACGTTGAATAATTGCACCCCCTTATTCCGAATAGACGCCTCTGCTTAACTCACAAAATGTTAAACCTTATATTAAGTGTTACCTGGTTTAAGTTATTGAGTGTGCTCCCAGCCTCGTTGAGTTTATTCCACTTATTCCTATTTCGACTGTAAAACTTATATATATATTTTTTATTTTTTGTTTATTACTCACCCAATAGGATTGTAATTAAAAACACTGTTCAATTGACGAATGGAATTTTGTATTAGACTATCCTTAGATTTCCTCGCTATTAGTAGAAATTACATATTTATTGTTTTATTTAATAAAATGTCTCCCCTGATCGTGTGTTTTTGTGTAGTTAGACGGGACTGTATCTGTTGCGAGTTTCTTTAAATTAAATTTAGCTTTAGGCTCTATAATGATTATAGTCAAGGTTTAAATGATCAAGATATTTACTTTTCTTGATAATTCTCTGATATATGTCCGATAATTATCTGTGCTGAATAATTTCATGTCTTTAACTTTGGCATGCTTAAATATGCATAGTTTTGTCTTAAAATTTTGGCAAACAGTGAGAAAACGAAATTAACACAAAAATAATTTTTTGGGAAAACGAATTTCTCAATTATTTGTGACACGTTTGATTTGATACGGCTCTGACACAAACACATGACAATATTTTGCTAGCATTTTATTGTTGCAATAAATTTTATAAATTTCAAGATAATTATCGTGATACTTATCATAATAATTATCAATGATAATTATCACTCCGAACCCTGATTTTTACCCTTAAACTCGGATATTGTTAGGTCTCATGTTTGCTTCATTATATAGGTACCATATTGTCTTCAATATAAAAACAAAAACTCAGCAACAGATTCGGAGCCATTTTTAGTAGTTTGTGAAATGTTGTTAGTGCTCAAGAAAATAATTTAACAAGGTAATTATGAATGTCACTCTTTGTTCTAATAATATTATGTTGCGTCATAAAACAATATATCGAGATGTCCAACGCAAAACACAAGAAAGTTGTGAATTTTTGTAACGTGGGAGTTAACTTATTATAATGTACTTTTCATAGTCTTTTCTATAATGAAAATCCAACAAACAGTTTTATGAGTATAGTACAGAAACTATTTATGTGCAAACCCGGTATATGACACCATTGAAAAGTACACTATGACGAAATATATAACCCTTTTTACGAAAATTCACGTTTATAGTGTTTTACCTCAGACACCTAAACTTGGCAAACGAATGTACTCTATCTAAAGGGTCAAAAGTTCAATATTGTGTTAGCAACAACTATTGACTATAACATTAGTGTTGTTATTGAAAAAAATAAGTTCTTGGAAAATCCAGTCCAGGTGTTCGTTCAGGGAAATACTGCCACCTTACCCATTTCTGCCGCAAAGCAATAACGTGAAAGTTACTGCGTTCTGGTTTGGAAGGGTAAAGGTGCTAGTGAAATTACAGGCACCTGGGACTTGTCAACTTACGTCCCAGAGTGACGGGCGCACATGGATAGGCGTGTCGCTTTCCGCCAGACACAGCTTGTTCGTCCCGTCATTTCGTATTATAAAAGAAAGTTACTCTAAATGCAAATGCGGTGGTTATCACAAGGAGGGCAGTATTCTCCGGTAGTTCTTCTTTCGTAAACAATATACCCAACACTTGGTTATTTTTTATTCACTATATAGTCGTGGCTTGTACATTTAAATGTAGTTGTTCACATACAGTACAATACGATTAAATGTCGTTCACGAATTTTTTGTCGTTACGGGGCAGACTGTCGTGACAAAGGGAAGAGCTAGAACGACAGTCGTCTGACGATAAATAAAACGCAAATTAAACGAACGTTCACGACACAGTCACGACAGATAGTCGTGATATGGGAAGAGACTAGACGCGACAGTCGTCCAAAGATAAATAAAACATTACGACATAATGAGAACGCGCCCAAACTAGGGAATTCCCTGTACTATACGTACCAGAGCAACGGATTTCGCTCTGAGGCACTTGCCAAAACATTCAGACCAGAAACAGAAAAGTTCATTTCCGAAATTGGTCCTACCGCGAATCAAATCCAGGACCTCCGCATCCAGCGCCCACAAACCACGAGGCTTACCAAGGTCGTCAAATTCCATTCTCAGTTCGTTGATATAGTGCCCACTCGTATCAAAACGCTTTGCTTTCTTCGTTAGAGTCTATACTAACTACGTCAAATGGCTTTGGCTGGTTCCGCATAACAGAGTGTTGAATCAATCAATACGGTGTGAAAACATTACTCTTAAAAATTTTCACGAAAAACTTACCTCGAAATTTTACAAGAAAACCGCTTATTCAATAGGTACTGTACATATACCAATGATTTTTTTTATATCAACTGTACTAAATAGAACACGTATACTATACGATATACATTTTTCAAATGGTTTTGATTTCATTTTTTTTTAGTCTGAAATAAAACCTGCCGCCCGATCCAAGCAAAGTGAACTGTATTAGTACGGGAAAAATCTGAATTCGAGTTGTGCCAGTGTAGACTTTTAATGCGTACGGGAAAGGAATGGATACGCTAGCGGCATTATCATAATCTGTGTTTCACGAAAATTACAACTAGACTAGATCTATTTTGTTTCTAAACATACAGAGATTTGTCGCTAGGGATATTAAGCAGAGAATTCTAAAAATGTGCACCCCATTACACTAAGCACGCAAAGATTAAAAGAAACAAAATAGTTTTAGTGCACGTGAAGTTTTTCTCGGTGGCAGTTGCGAAGCTGCTAACTCTTTTCTCTTTCTCTCGTATGACATTAACAACACGAGAGAGAAAGATAAATACAACAGCGATCGAGCATCCTTACGCCACTACAATAATAATGTAATTTTATGTAGAAAATTCCATTAGTATGTGGGTAATTTAACTTTCATACAAAATTATCAGTGGCAAAGGGACCTGTTACAACAGTCCCGTCGAATTATAAGAAATCTGTTCTCCAACGTACTACAAATAATACGCACCCTTCGCCACTGATATTTAGACTTTAAAAAAGCTTCTACTGCCTACGTCAAGACATTTTTGTAATAGATACTGCATATGAGCTTACTGTGCATGCTTTCTGTGTTGGTATCATGTGAAGCCTGCCAACATTCACGTGATGCGGATCTTGCGAAACGCTCCACCCTCCAATGTTGTTAGAACTAAGTCCGATAAGGTTAGTCGGCGATTGCTTATTTATGTTTTGGGCAGACACTTTCATTAATGACGTCACTATTGCAATGTCATATTCGAAAGAAATGCCGTACGTCTTTAAAACGTACCAATTTTAAACAATTTTGTTTCTAATTGACAAGTGGTGAGCTATTATGCCGTTAAACTTCATTAGATGAATCACTTGTATGCCAATTGAACGTAATGTGTGAGGTAGATCCTTTGGATAAGCATCGGAGATCTGATACACCATTAATAATACATGAAGTCAACCTTAGCGGTTGGAACAATGCTATAATGTTAGTGTCTGACCTGTTTATGGGTTACAAGAATACGGAAACATTAATATGTCAATGAAACGGTTGAACAACAAACTCAATATTGTACAATATGTTATAGTTTGTGTGTGACTGTAATGTACATTTCAATCTTTAACATTGATATTGCAATGTTTACCTAAGCTTGCTGCCCATGGCACTTCTAAAGAGTCAGAAGCTTTGTAGCGTTCATTGGTTAAGTTTTCATGCGTTTTTTAGCTTTGTATTAGATAGCACTCAAGGCTGTGACATATCACACATTTGGTGCTACATTTTTATTTAACACTACAAATTTTATTTATTTCGACATATTTAATTCAATTGTACTGAAATTACAATTACATCAATGTAGCACCAAATAAGTGATATACATAACAACGTAGTGAATAAAAGGCGCTCATAAGTTAATTTTCACCCATTATTAAGTTATTACACTTTTTGAAAACTAGAGAACCGCAGGGTGATAGCCTGTTTGGGCATCCGATACGACAATACATTTTTTCATATTTCCTTGGAAGGTAAGATCGAATTCAGGGAAAACCCAAACGAAGTTGTTTAGATCAGATATGGGGAAAAAATATGGATAATATGGAAGTTAGTTATGCAATAATTGCTAAACATAACGACTATTCGAAAACAGGTCAGCTTTCATAAAGACGCTTCTATCGTTAACTTGTTTTTATTTTTCAATTTCATATATCATCCATTCATGCTAGAACATTGCTTAATAACAGGATATCTTAATAGGCATATTTACATAAACTTCAAATAGTATATAATTATAGAGTGAATAATGCCTCTAAAATCAAAAATTATAAGATATTTTTTTAAATAGATAATTATCAAAATAATTATCATGTTTCTTCACAGTTTTGTCTGTTTAACTTTTGACTAAAAATGACAAACAGTGAGACAAGTAAATAAGCATGAAGAAAAATATTTGGGTTAATTTGGTTAGTGACATTTTTGTCTTTGACACGTTAGGACACGAGAGGATACAAACATTTAGCATGATATTGCTAGCGATAGCGTTTTGTTATTCCAATTAGGTTTATAAATAATATGATAATCATATTATTAATGATAAGTGTCTCTCCCAACCCTGCCCCAAATATAGAATATAATACGTAATAATTCCGCTATTTAAGAGGGAGGTATTAATCACTCTATGCTCTTTCTTCTTTGAAGTTTAGGTAAATACATTCGTGTCTATTTTGATCTCTGTTAATAACATAAATGAACTTTAATATATATTTTCAAATTATATATCTGCATTTTCAGTCGACCCCAGTGGGATCGAGCCAGACCGGACACGAGGTGGTGGTGTCTCCTAACCGAGATAGACATCAACCTTTCAATAAGGTATTTTATTTATTTTAACATTATTAAATTATAAGTTTATTTGATTTTATAATATTTTTTTTAAAGAACACAATTATTTGCTACGATTATTTCTTTAGTTCACAATTATTCTGTGGAATATCTTATTTGGCAACATTAGTGCAAAAGTGTCTTAGGCATCGAGTATATAACCAAAAATAGAGGCGAAATAAGGACCATATATTCCTGGTAACACATTAGCGATACATCTCTTATAAATATCAACTCTCGTTTGCACTGAAATATAGACAGGCCAACTACTGACCTGTGTGTACGTCTCCGTATATTCCAAAAAAAAATTCGTATTTATTGTAATAAAGATAATATCTCTAACAACGTCGTGCTGTTCTATTCGGTGGTGTGGGAAAAACAGCAAAACATCTAATTACAAAACAAACGGAATTACATTTCATCGGTAATTAAATATTAAATATGTAATTTTCGTCCATTATAGCGAAGCTCAAGTTAACTGGACGATTTGAAGTGAAACAGTTGACGACACCCGTCAATAGTTTCGAACTCGGGCTGGCCAATCGGAGCGCAGTTGTCACAGTAATGATATGGCAGAATAGTTTTCAAACAAATTAAATGACATTTCGTCTCTATTTCTGGTTATATACTCGATGGTCTTAGGTTTTTCTTTTTGGCAAAAAAGTTTATTGTTTAATACATTGACTTACAATTATATGGACGTCGGGTCCGCGCTAAAAAGTGTCCGAACTGATAGGGCGTTAAAATCGTATACAGAGCGTCATTCACGCTTTAGTCTTTGTTTGTTCGACTGACAGCGAAGCAAGCAAAATTAGACCGTACTGCGATGACATTACAATTTAAATTCAATTTTTTAGCTTTTTCATGTTCCTTTACATGTCACTACGTTTAAATAGGTTGACTTGGGACATTTTTTTCGTGGTTTTTGTATTAGACCCGTCGTCCATTTATTTGTAAGTCAATGGTTTAATAAATAATAACTGTGTTTCCCGAAAGCTATAACTAGGGATATACAAAGTTTGACATTTACTAGACAAACACGTGACATCATCGCTTTACATCAGGTGGGATTATCGCTAAGCGTTAAACTATTTTACGTAATCTTTTTTATTTGTAAGTTGGGCATGAAATAGAAACCAGGATAACCAGAATTATGTAGATTAGAGTTTGGGTTACCACCCTTTTGAATTTATCCGGACATGTCCGGCTTTTGGACCATCTGTCCGGATTTGTCATTCGTCCGGATTGTTCAAGTTAGGGTAAAAATTTTTGGAATAAAAAAAAATACGACAAGAATTCTGTACACTTGTCCATCGCTGCTGCCACGTTAGATTTGAGGTTTCATTTTGTTACTAAAAAATCTGTTCTGGATTGTTCAAATTTCCGAATAGTAACCCTTATTTAAATACACAACAGAGAATTAAGTCTTTCAACCATAAATTCACATTGGTTTACTTACAAAATTACGAAAATTAGTACTTTGAAATCATGGTAGAGTGTGGTTTATGTGTCCCTGGCTTTTTACAATTATGATTTTGAACTAAGCGTACAACGACGAGCAGAGCAAGCGAAGCTTTATCACGAATATAGAAGATAGGTGTTCTCACGAAAAAAAGGAAATTAAACAAAATAATTGAATATAATATATAAAAGCATTTTTGCCCTAATGTTGTCAGGAACTCATACGAAATTCTGACCATATGATTTTTGTCGGTGCAGGATGATTTGTGTGATTATATGATTGGTTTGGTTGAGGACGATGAGGCGGCGCTTATTGCGGGAGAGGTTTGACCCTTCACTCTTATGTTTATCATACACCGTTATAATCGTATACTGGACTTCAGAACTGTTCCTTTTGTTTACACAATTATTCTAATTTCAGTGTGCTTAATAGGTCATTCACTAAACTTTAGCATTATGGTGCTAAAGACCGACCCGGTTTTGCACTATGGTAAAATGTGGAGAATAATCTGCTTCTATTCTATCCTATTTTTAAGTTTATAGCCTCTCTTGAACACCTCTGCCAACGTCTAGGCAGTCATGGTAGTTAAACTTTTTTTTTTATTATATACGTTTAACACTGGTCTTTTAAGTCTATTCCGGCTTCTGGAACAACACAAAATATCCCGATGTACGAGTACCAACACCATTACAGATATTTAAATATAATATAAGTTGTATAATTTAAATTTGTTAAGACAAATAGAATCAGTTATTAATATTAAGAGGTGTTTAAAAAAATAATCTACTTATATTTGGTAAAATTTAGCTTGCTTTAGAATGACATGTCAAAATTCATGATACAGTTGCGGGACACGAACAGTGATATCGAGAATCGATTTTAAAATATGTCGACTGACATATCGACTGTGAACTGCCAACCTGTACTATCTCAATTAAAAAATAATTAAATAAAAATATGTAGTGTACATACATATAAGTGTAATAAAAATATTTAAAAACTACGTGTTTTTATTTAATAAACCAGATGCTATATAAATGACGCAATCAATTTTTTTCTTCGTCCTGCAAATTTGTCATAAATTGAGATAGTACTGATTGCCAGTTCACAGTTCATATGACGAATTTAAATCAGGCTTACAATATCATGGTAATAACTGAAGTCAACTTATATAAGTAACGTATGCTTATAAATAATAGTTTATTGTTACACTTGGATACAAAATTCACCTGTAATACGCAATTTAGTCGGAAATAACATTTGAAAAATTATCACCAACCTTTTCTCGATTTGATGAGTTGAATGACTCCATATTTTTGACGTGTCCCAACACAATTTTTTTCCCAACTGATATAGCTATTAGCAGCAGTATAGCTCCTTGTGAAAGAGTTCGTTCAGGGAAGTACTGGAAGTTTTGAAGCTTTGGCTTGGGTGGTTAGGGCGCGGGTGAAATTACAGGCACACTTGTTAACTTATGTCTCAGGGTGACAGTGCCCCTCAGATCTTTACGACTTGAAGCTTTGAGTGGCAACTGTTATGGACAGGTGTGTAGCTTACCATTAGACGCACCACTTGTTCGTCCGTTCACTTGATATTATAAAAAAAATTATTAATATCTATGTGTGATTAACTTGAAAAACCATTTGTCAATAATTTATGGATTTGAATGATCGTTTGTTAATGAATAGTAACGTAATATTATGTAAAACATTTTATTGTTTTGTCGTGTTTAAAAATATATAATTTGGCGGCGTTGCTACAAATTTCTTCGATTTTATTTTGTCGACATGTCATTTTAATCAAGCTGAATTTTACGGAGTATTATAGTACACTGAAATTAGCATACTGTAATGGAACCTTAAGTTTAGTTGTGAAACTGAAAGCCCCGTTTACTTCATGCTAATTTCAATATGCTGAACGCGTTGTTTACCACACTTTATCATAGTGTAAAGGCAATTGATAAGTTGACAAACAATTGAATTTTATGCAGAAATCAAAAAGTTTTCAATATGGCGTATCCAAAATGGCCGCCATATTATGTCGTTTCCGAGCTGATCAGTGTAGCATATTTTATTCTGAAGGTAAATTAAAATGTGTTAAGTTGATAAACTGGTATTTTTCAAGTTTTTATTATTGAAACACTATACGATTACGACACTTTGCTGTTTACCCTAGTTTTGTCATTACTCCGCTCCCCGGCTATCGCCTCGATTCTCGAATATTCCATAGCTCCCATGCTGCCATCTATCGGTGTGCGTTTTTACGCTCAAATTGTAGTTGACAATCGTTGTCACTCGAATTTGGATATAATTGTAAATGTTTACAATTTGTTTGCTGTGTATACAAACATATAGATAGCTATAGATTCCCTTGTCAGTTAATTACCGTTAATTGCTATAGTAAACTTAATGTTATACCTTGTTGTAACCTGAAGATATTTGTTTAGAAAGAAGTAAACAACTTCAAAAATAAGCTTCGCAGTCATCACTAGAGCCCTAACCAAATATTGTGTGGTTTTTTAAACGCTTATACCGAAATTGTTCCACTAGAGTTTAGTTCTTTTGATATTTGTTTTTTGTTTTTTTTTTATTTGGTGCTTGAGTGTTTATAGTGTAGTTTTAAACATTTTCCTTCCAAGATTATTATTTAATTACCTAGTAGTAATTTTTAGTAACTAGTTTTTACTCGTGACTTGGATAACTCTAGTTTTAAACTTTTTAAGCGGGAAAACTTACTTAAAATACAATGTACATAAGATTATCCGCATAATTTCATATAAAATGTAACTTCATTCTCAAATATAAATTACAAAAATTTTACATCCAATTTTTTATTGATTTTGGTTTTCAACCATTGTCTCGGTAGTTTCGAAACACCATGTGATATAATTCCATGCGTGTGCCTTAAATATAAATAAACACTTTCAGGGTGGGGTGAAGGACTCGGGGGGTACAGCGAACACGGGGGGCAACTGGCCCCACAGTGGAAAAGCTACCCCGCTCACTACGGGCCATCTTACCCCGGCAGATAGACATGGATCGGTACAGGTATGGTACATTTTGTTATTAGGAATTTATTGCATTGGACCTGAATTCGAGAAAATATTATACATAAACATAATACATAGTTGTGAAAATTACAAACGATAAATTGTATCGCGGCTATATTGCAGAAAAAATATATCAATTTATTTTTGATCGCATATTTTTAAAACCTTTTTTTTTAAATCAGGTTCTGTGCGTGGTAGAACATAGATGGGCTCTAGTTTTTGGAAAAAAAATTGACAATTAAAATTGTTACTTCTAAGTTTTCCAAAAACTATCCCAACAAAAACACTAATGATTAAACATTAACTAAATTAAGTTTAAATAAAATATACCTAAATACATTATAAATTATAAAATAATTTGTGTAGCACTGATTCTATTAGATCCACGCTGTTTATGCACGCATCCCTTAAATATATCGCACACCGGCTGCAACACTGACACAAGTAAAAAAAGTAAGAAACGTGGCAAGTAAAAATATGACGTGAGTGTGTAAATATCGTATAAAAATTGTCTAAAGTGACATCTGAAGAAAACTTTACAATATTAAAACAAATTGTAACCGAAAAGCTGGAAAGTTTTTGCACGCGCCCTAACAAAACCCGAAAAAATATGATTTTTGACTTGTGACACTATTGAAATCGTTGTGCGATATAATAGACAAACATTTTTTTTATTACAAAATTTAGTTATTTATACATTATCCTAATGATTCTGCAACATCTACAGTTGCTGAACACATCGTGGTTATCTCATTTCAGTTACTCGCAAACCTCAATATTGCGGACTGCCCTCTTTGTGTTGATCACTAAGACGGCCCTCCTTAGAAGTGAACCGTGCCCAGAATGGGACGAGTTTCAATATAATATTATAATACATTGTGTGAGACAGAGGAAAAATGAACATCTCGTTTTTAAAACAGTTAAACTTACTTTAAAAACAATTTAAACAACAATTTAAATCAATAGCGCTAACATAATGTGCGGTACATAGACATACATACATACGTTAAATATATAAAATTCGCACCCCGCATAAGTGGAGTTACGTCAAAAATGTTTATTGCTCCATTATGTACAGAAAAATATAACCCACATCCTTTCCAATTCTTGTAACTCTGTCTACAAAATTAGTCGCCACTTATGCCATTCTTCGATGAGGGATGCGAAATATATTTGTGCGGTCATGCAAGGTTAAGGTTGAAAAGTAAAGAGAACATCAATCTAGACTACTTTTTACTGTTGTTATCGCTTGACGTGACCTTGACTCTGTTGTACAACGTCATATTTGTTCAGCAACTTAGATGATTAATGTTCGTGTAAAGTTGTGAATGTATATTGGTGTATTTATTTTTTAGCTGTTGAAGAATAAACATTTTCGGTATGTGAAATTCCCCGGATCAGTTACAACGGTCAGTTTTTGAAATATTTTGCGGCATTGTGTGATGTCTGCATGAAGCTTATTAAAGGGTTTTTTATTTGTGTACGATATTTTAAGGGATTACGGTACGGTGTGTTTAGTTATGTTACTATGTACTGGGGATGATCCATCGTGATGATCAAATGAACATTCTCGCCGTGGAATTTTAAAAATCGAATTCCCTCGTAATGAAGTGACGTAAATTACTTTTTTGGGAAAATAAAAAATAGATTAAAGAAATTACTCGCGTGGCAAATAATATGTCAAAATTATTTTTAATGGTGCGCTATTTAAGCTGATCCTTAAAAAAAATCACTTTTGGAATTATGTCACTTCATTTTTGAGGGTGCGATTTATTTTATTTGCAACATGTACATTGATTTTAAACTATTACTAGCCCATTATATCAGCTTCAAAACGTGTCGTGTCCATTTAGATAGCAACAGTTTTTTTTTTATTGCAGACGGTTTACTTCGAACTCTGTTCGGTAATATGACCAATAGAAAATAACATTCACCAATGTTAGTGTTGAAAAAAACCGCAGACATTCTACGTATTTTACTATTAGGGAAAAATCGTTGGAAATTGCAAAAGTTACACGAGTAGATATCTCCATCAATCACGTGGTGGCGGTAGGCAGCTACTTTAAGTCGTATTTTAGATTGTTAATTTCGGGGTGCTAAATTATGTGGTCGTGTATAGGTATCAGAAAAAAAAGATAAAAAGATAAGGGTAAAAGAAACCCTACATCGCCGGTGCCATGGACAACACACATTGGTAGACAACCACAAATTGCACCCAAACACCGAGAGAAATAAATGTGGGCCATACAAATCCGATGGCCTTCGTTGTTGAGTGGTTTGCACACCAGTTTTCACGGTGTCACCATCTCTGAGGTCCCGGGTCCGATCCCCGGCTGGTGTAGAAAACTAACTTTTCTATATTGTCTCGGGTCTGTGTTTTTGTGGTACCGTCGTTGTATCCGATTGCCATAAAACAAGTGCTTTAGCTACTTACTTTGGGATCAGAGCAGAGCAACGTGTGGTGTTGTCTAATATTTATTTCGGCAGTCCAGCATGGTAGCCTTTTGGCCACGGAGGCAGCTAATCTCTATCAAGCATAAGTTTGGCCAAGTATAGAGTTCAAAGTTAGTTAATTTATCTAAGTCTAGATTACCGCAGAAAAGCGTCCTTTATTATTATTATTATAATACCAAGTGACGGAACGAACAAGTTGTGCGCCTGATGGTAAGCGACACGCCAATCCATAACAGTTGCACTGCCACACAAAGCTTTAAATCGCAAAGATCTTAGGTCATTCCCACTGCGCTCGTCATCCTGAGACTTAAGTTGAGAATTTCCATGTGCCTATAATTTCACCAGCACATTTACTTACCCTTCCAAACCGGAACGCAGCAATTCTCACATTACTGCTCGGCGGCAGAAATAGGTAAGGTGGCAGCAGAGCTTCCGTGAACAAACTCTTTCGCAAGGAGGTCTACTGCTACTACTGGCATACTTGTATGGAATACAGTTCTTACTTTACAAGTCTAGTTAAAAGTCCAGAACACTCCATCCTTATGGCATTGACTTACCACACTCGCGCGAGGCGCTTTGCTATATATTTCTTGAAGCGTATGTCAATGGACTGGAATGTAGTGCGGACATTTGTGATTGAAGGTCTGCTACGCCGAGACCTCGGGTTCGATGCCGGGAGAAATATTTGTATGGCCTACATTTATTTTTCTCTTTAGTCTGGGTGCTATGTATGTATACATAAAGTAGTATATAGAGAGAGTGACTAAACAGTCGTTTAATTTACTTTAAAGAAGCTTTCATTTAGTTATTTTTTTAGTTTATTTCAATATGATTAAGTTTGAAGAATTACTGATTTAGCACACTCACATTAATGTGATGGGGCTTGCTGTAGAAAGATATAGGGTGAAAAGAAAATTCATTCGCAAATCTTTACGTAAAACTCCGCAACTCACTCCGCAAGTCCGTTGTTACACAATAATTTATTTAAAATACCGTGCACAAATAAATGTTGAACCTGTTCTGTGCTCTCGAGTAAAAAGTAACACGAGCTTTCAGTGAAGCACTGCCAATATTCATTCATAAAATTGTCATGTACTCTTTTGGAATTGCACTAATTCTGGGTTATTTTCTCAAGGCATCATTGTATAATCGTGTTAAACCAATCGTATTGGACTAATTCACAAAATGCTAACTTTTCAAGCACGAGAATACTTTTTTTTACTTTAAACATGAAAATTACCCAAAATATTGTTAAAGTTTTCCGCTTTTCTTCTTATTTTCAATTGTTAACCTACGCTAGTTAGACAGATCCTAAAATACTGTTATCGCTTGTGTTTATTAATGGGTAGAAGCGATTGCAAGATTTTTAGTCTGTCCAATAGTAAGGGCAAGAATTTGGAATCGCAACTTTTAATCGATTAATGACTTTAATCTAAATCTGATTATCTTTTGATAATTGACAATTAAGCAATAATTACACAAGAATCGCGGAGGTCTATACACATTGCACCCTCAACGATAAAGAGTCTTAATTCGAAAAATAACAATTTTGGCTAATGAACAAAATAAATAAAAAAATAAACACTAAAAGTCAACTATTATTATATTGTTTTTCATATTAAATAGACTCATCGCATTCGGCACCAGCTAAATTGTATACAGGATGGAAAAAAAACAATGGGACATCTTCATCTCAGGGTTAATTGAAGTCATTATGTACTAATAATATCCAATAATTTTGAGAGATTTTGTCGCTGTAATTGATCATATGATTAGTACAATAAAGTAGTGAGTGTGTATTTTTTTTATTTTTAGTTGGTTTGATTCTCGGCTCCAGTAAAATTTCAAAAAATCTGTACATTTATTCATATAAAAAAATAAAATTATCTCCTTTAAGTAAAATTAGGTATCTGAAGTATTTAAGCTAGTTACTCTCCATGTCCCTTTGATTTTTCTGCACCCTGTATGGTGTCAGGTAAGTTTTTTTTTATATTTATTTTGGTCAGTTTTTCAAAAGATACTTTTTGAATTTTGATCATATATAATGTATACATGCTATACCACTATCGGGTGTTAATGGATTACATATCAAAAACTGTAACTCGTAACTGTGCTATTTCAAATGCTATGCATCCCCCGTTTGAAAAGCTTTTGTATGGAACTTTTGTATTTTGTATTGTTTTCAATTTATAAGAGATGTAAATAAGTGTGTTTGGTATCACACTTTCAGTAATAAAAGTCCAAAAAGTAAATTTGGGAGACAAAAATAGGGTAGCCTATCAGTAGTCTGAAATAACATTTGCCAGAAATAACGTTTGGTCGAAATTTCATAACATCGGAAGTAATTTTGAGAGGAAAATGTTTTTTTTCTTTTAAAAGTAACTTAACCAAACCTAACCGAACCTAATCGTGTCTTTGCGATAAACATTCAACACATCCTGAAAGAACAACTGTTTCGTTATAATTCGGTTTTCGGTGTAATGAAAATTCGAACAGACGTTATTTTGGACAAAAAAATTTTCGACTTTTTTATGTTACCCAAAAATAGTTTTCATAAAAAATGTACGTGACACAATTATTATATGACAAAATTAAATTTGGTATGAGAAACGATACGAAACATAAAAAATGAAGGTCATAAAAATATCACGAATCATATTATGTGAAATTTTATAACTTATTTAAGCATAAAACAGTATCGACTAATTTTGTTCGTAGAATCTTTAAACCTCTCTCGTGAAAAATGTAATTTTACAGATGTGACCTTATTACACAATGGGTGCGATATTAGTTTTATTTCGTATATACATGGATCGAACTGAAGGAGGAGTAGCAGCGTAGTCCCTATCTGGTACACCAGATGTCGCGACGAGTACCAAATAGCTATTTTTGTAACTAATTTCTAGTAACATAGTAGTTTATGTGACTGTTACATAATGAAAATCATTAAAATACCGAGTGTTTTAATACCTAATTGTCTAAAGTTACATACACTGCTTTATCTACACACATATTATAGGCTCTGTAAGATGTGATAAACAACAAAACAAACTAAATGGCGGCAAATAAAAACTATTCTCACGCATGTCATGCTACCGTAGTTTCTTTTTAAATTCATAGACAAACTAGAGTCGGCCCCAACTATCATATCGTTCGATATCAAGTAACGTGTGAGATTTGTCAAAATTGTTTGCTATTGACATTTCATTTCGAATAAAACTTCATCTCGACTGCTATTAGAATTGAGGTCGGATGAACTTGTTTTGTTTTTCAGAAATTTTCGTAATTTGAATGTATTCGATTTTATTATTAATGCAATAATAACATTTTCACAGATAAGAAATTTGTTCTAACGAAAACAGATATCTTTATGCTGGTTGTAATTTGCGGTTTTTAAACACATCATAGACAGTTTATGATATGTGTGTAGATAAACAAATAAATCAACTAGTTGGTGCTTATTGCAGAGTTTTATGGATAGTGCCGGCTATTCTTCTATTTTGTTTAGGATTAGCGCCATCTACCCATATTAGGAAGCGTTAATTTATAACTTAGTACGTAACACAATGCCATCTTTTGTCAGACACACATATTTGTCAGAGTTCAGAAAATAAGTTTAGCTCATGATCAATATTTCAATAATATTATTACAAGGAAAAAATAATTACTTCGTACATAACTGATATCCACGGCCATTAACATATTACAAATTACTTCCAGATTATTGATCAGCGCCATCTAAGCATAAGACGGAATTTTGACCTTGATCAAAGTTACTTATGTGTATTATATTTTTAAATTTATCTTGCAATTGCAATGACCTAAATGATGACCAAACAAGTATTTTATTATATCATCTTTGGTCTAGATTATTGGACTGTCATTTAGACAGTGTTATATAAGTTTATACCATGCAAATGAACGCTATTGTATATTAATCTATGCACGCGTGCTACCTTCAATTATTTCTTACTATAGCATGTACTACAAAGCCTGCTCTAGAAATCGTATTTGTGAAGATTTTTGTACCTTTACGATTTGTATTGAAAAGTATTAATTAAATCTTGCATGTAATATCTGCATTTCATTCGTCTCTTTACTACCGTAGAGAGTCACCATACTTATCAATACACAATCGAATTAAGCTGGTCAGAAACAGCTTTATGTCCATGTAATAAAAACAAAAATGAAATTGTGCGCTTCGCGTCGGCAGTTTGAATAGAGCGAGCTTGTTTGTGGTGACTCTCTTACTCAGCTTTCGAAAGCGAACATTCCTTAAAAACGTAATCTACCTTTTTTTTATAAAAAAATTTACTTACGAAAGTTAGTCAGGAAGCCATTTGAAATCAAAATTAAAGAATAATATAGTGTAACATTGTAATAATGGACGTTCCCAGGTGGTGTCATCGACGAACGGCGAACTCGGGGCCGACGACCCCACCGCCGGTCACAGCAACACGCCGATCACCCAGCCCCACCACGAGGTGGACGTCGTGGACGACACCAAGTCAGTGTTTCAGCTGTACGTACCCTTCTCATTGCTTATTATAGTCGCTGAATCCATTTCGGAGGTCAGTCGGTATTCAGAATTATAATTGCAGTGGAACGTTATGTACAGGGGCTGATGCAGATCGCCCATAATTGTATCATTGTATTTGTTTTGCAAGTTTGAGCTTTAAATGATACGTCAGACGCCCTTTTAATGCGCGATGTTATAATGATATGCCATTCAATTCGCTTATACGAGTATTTAGTGGTAATACCTCTCGCTAACGCTTTATGAAAACATCGTGATGAAACGTACTTGCTGAAGAACGTTACCAACTTTTGGACTAAACTCTGGATTCGCGTCAAGTGGGACGTGTTGATGATAATATATGCTCAACGCACAAAAAGGACGTCGTCTGCATAGAGCCTTATTAAAAAAAATTTGCTTTCTTTGTTATTTTTATTTTCCAATGTGATGTGTTTTAATTCGATGTTACTGTTTTCTATTTGAACGCAATTGAGTGCACGCAAGAACGATCTCGTCCCATGGCAGACTCTGTAAATCTTCATGCAGGCAATCCTACTATTCCAGGTGCTGCTGCTTCTTCAAGCGCAAAAAGAAGAAGTGTGCGGCGCGCGCGGGCAAGTGACGCGTGACGTGACCCGCCCCCCTGCAAGCCACCCTGCAAGCCACCCAGCACCCCGCCACCCCGCAGCCACCCCGGCACCCGCTTCCCGAACGATCTCACCGACTCGGTAACACCCTTCATGCAACGCATCGAACACTCGGGGACTTTCAAATCGTTCTAATTTTCTCTTATTCGTACTTGTCGATTCTGACTCGCATTTGTAGTCTGCGGTTGGTATTTTGTTTTCTTTCTCGTGTAGCATTATGCGGCGATGAGGGAAAGGGATGGTCATAGTGGCAACAGTGCGTCGCTGACTAGTTCCAGCCTATTATATTAACCGAATCAGAAGGGAAAGATACGAAAGTATTTATCTTTCTCAACTCTATAGGTTAACGTGTAGACTAGGGTAAAACCTAATGTAAAAAGACACGGCTGAACTTAAGTACGGATACTATGTTATTTTGCGCCTATGGCGCTTGTATTTTCAGCAGAATAAGTTCAGCTGCGCTCTTTTCGTTATAATTAACCTTATACTATTTTGAATAGGCTGTCCTTTTCAAAATAGTGTAATAGTGTTGAAAACAGAGGATATAAGATACAAGAGTCTCTTTACCTTAACTTATTAACTATACTAAGGTTGTTCTCCACACTTTACCATAGCACTAGTTGATCAGCAACGATCGAAATAGAATATATATATATTACATATAGAGTACATTATCTCCTTTTCAAACCCCAGAATGATTAAAAATAATAGGAAAAAAAATCAAAACAATATTTTTTTTTATTAATGTTTTTTTATACTTACAATTACAAAAATTTTCTTAATAAACTACCGTGGTAAAGCAGTGTTAGTCACACATGAAAAATATAGAACAAAATCAAGAATTGTTTAATTAAATTAAATTTCGAAAGTAAATATAAACAACAATCTCGTATTCCATATTATTAAGTAACATTAAATCCATATATTATAAACGTAATTAGTAAACATTAAAATAATGGGTACGTATTCAGGTTTCTTTCAAATGCAACAACTGGTTGTGAATCGGAATAAACACTATAATTGTCCATTCGTCAAGGGTCAAAGGATAACACCTTACCGGAACGTACCCATATATAACACTAATTAGAAAGATCATTACTAGGGATGCACATTACGATTTCATTTTTATGAAGATCGATTTAATTGAATACGATTTGGCGATTATTTGAATCGATTCATTTCAATGCGATTTTTAAGCGAATCGATTCAATATTAAGGCCAATTTAATCGTCTAGATTGTATTCATAATTTAAACAAAAGTCTCATAAAGATGAGGACAATGCTTTGGGCATTAAGTTATATGAAATTATTATTGAAAGTTTAGTTAGATGTAAAGGATTGGCAATTAAATCATGTAATAATTATTACAAATTTTCAAACGATTTTTATGAGATCAATTCAAGAGGAGAGAAAAATACAATACAACTCTATGTTTACGCGTTACGCTCGGTATGTGTAACACGTAAATATACTCTTTAGGTAAACATAGACTTTAGGTAAAAATACTCTGGCTATGGTCAAATGTGGAGAACAACCCGCGTAGCACCCAACTCAGCATGATGGGCTTCAATCGTGTCAGAATCGATATAATTCATCGCAAAGCTTCTAGCACCGTCTAGCGTATATGGTTTCATCAAAATTGTATTAGTAATTGTTTTTTAACGCGCTAATATTTAAATAAAAAGTGACAGTCGCGAACTTTCGAACGATTTCGAGACCGAATTTCCTATCGGGAAGTGTTTAATGTCGATTATTACCTTATAAAACGTAATTTCGGATAAACTTAGTCAAATACCGTAATGATACGAAATATTCAAGGCTCATGTGGGGAAAATGGCGTAAGTAATAAATTTTAAAAATGTGCGGGTGGCTGTCTTCGTTTTTGTGTTCCCGTCCGTAGAAAATTACGTTTCGTTTCACCGTCACTAAATTCACCGTGAAATGAAAGGTAGAAACATATTGTGTCAAATCACACTGGAATTATATTTAATGTAATTAGAAACAGTTGAAAAGTGTTCTTAATTATCGCCGAACGGAGATTATTGTAGGTTTTAAGAGAGAACCTCGAGTGTGAATCACTTTTAAAATATGTTTCTAAAGCGCCATTTGCATTATTCTAATCGACGTGTGCTTAATGGGTTATTCCAAATTATTTATTTAAATGAAATACAATACAAAAAGTAATAAGATAAACATTTGAAATGGGTCTGTGACAAAGAGTACTATGGAGTTACTATAACTAATTGTAGCAAATAACCTTTCGCACTGAAATTATCATAATGTAAATGTGGTTTTACTCCTTTCATCTTACGAAGTCGCGCATCTACCCTCACTCGCATAAATTGTGTCCATTCCAACTCAGCGTTCGAACAAATCACCCGATTTGTACATTAGTTCATTTATCATTATATAAACTGCTGTAGTTATAATGAACTCTGCATTCGTTCACTTGACCGGTTCCGAGTTGAATTTTTTATGTACACATTTCATCAAATAAATTATATGTCGCCGGGTAAAACTTGAAAACCTCGTAATTACGTTTTTCGGACGTTGACATCTCAAACGTCCAGAAATCGAGTCCGGGACCTCGAGAGATGACAACACCATGAAAGTCGGTGTACAAGCTGCTTTACCACAGAGATTGGCAAATAGAAAGTCATATAATTATTTCTGGTAATGCTGTATTTTGTGCGTACTCAAAAGTTCACGGGTTACGTCAATTAGTGTTGTAAGGGACGATATGATATATCATATGTGGTATAATTTTGTTCTGCAAAAATTAACTTCACCTTTTATTAATAACGTGTATAGCTCTCAGTGGCACTGCAAATGTTATGGACAGGCGTGTCGCTTACCATCAGGGGCACGACTTATTCGTCCCTTCACTTATCATACAAAAATATATAGCCAATCTTTGCAATTGAAAACAGAATATTTAAATAAGTGTAATTTAAGTCAAATGAAACTTGCTCATTTTTACTTTTATTCAAAAATAACGTTAAAAGATGGTTACCCTTATTTATATATATAGGTTGATTTAAATCAGATTAAAGTTGTACCTCTTTGCCACTGTACACGCAAGAAAAAGAGCGATTTGAAAAAGTACTGCTTTAAAGTTTTTGTAACCGAAATTGAACTTAAAAACCGAAAATTATGGAAACAACAAAAAGCAAATTATATTAGAGGTAAACTCCCAATAGCGCAAACGTCTATTGACTATAATGCAGTATTAAGTTACACGCTCTGAATGTTTTGCTTTGATAAAGTAAAATACAGTATTATAGTTAGTGACATCTAATAATATAGAACTTTTGTGTAACTCGCTGATAGTTTCATTGGCAATATACTAATTTAGATGTGCTAAGTGGGTTAGCTACACTATTATTGCGTTTGCAGAATAACCCACTTAGCTCACATAAATTAGTATAATAAAAATAGCGAATTATTGATTTAAAAGTACAGTCGGCTCAATCGGAGCGAACGTTTGCAGAGTTAATTACGTATCGCTTTGTCCCATTTGTGTTAGGCAATGAAATATTATTTTTTTACGTCCTCGGCGAGTTTTAATCGTGAATGCAGTGAGTTTTGTTATGTTAGTAATGAAACACGTACCAATATTAAAGTGACTATCTTGTGTTTGTACGAGTTACGGTGATCGGTGTATTGAATATTGGAGTTTTAAATTAACTCGTATGTTTTAAGCAAATAAGGCTTGAAATCGGAATGCAAATTCCAAACGACCTCAAGGTGCAGACGGCAAATATAATGGTAGTGGAAAGTGTAGTATATAAGCCATATAGCATTGTTAGTCAATCTCCTAGATGGGTTTGTGATATACAATTATTTATCAAGTGTGTTCTCTTCATTGCGTCTGCATTTTTACCGTGAACGTTAAGAAATTCTTCTTTTAATGTAGACCACGCTGTCGTAGGGGAGGTCCGATCTATTTTGTCACTTTTGATTGCGACGTCCATCTTGTATTCGGCCATATTGACATTTAGCACAGTTTGCCAACACGAGATTTAAAACTGGTGCAATGTTCAACACACCGATTGTATGCATATTTATAAATTATAGTTTTATTAAGTCAAACAATTTAACTAAGTTCAGTTTGTGCGAGGTACTTGTATGATAACAATATGTATATGTTATTGGCACTTTCCTATAGTGATGCCACCTACTTTCCTATCTTTATTTATACCGGGGTGCCTGGAAACGCTGGAATAAACCTTTTAGCGGGAGAACTAGACATGAATTGCCCTCGTTTAGCTTTATTCCACGTTTGCAGATACCCCTTATTGCTGTAGTTTGAGAAAATGAGGTAACTTCATGCGATTTTATGCAATAGGTAAGGAAGCTATAGAGTAAACGAATTATTTTCAACAGAATTGCAGTGTGATGACGTTGTTGCTCTTAAAAATTAAAATAAACATTGGTTGATTATAATTTGACATAATGTATGTTAAACGTGCAATAATTTGTGTAGAAATTCACATCGTTACAATAGATAATAAAATTTAGATTTTTTTTTTCATAATAAGTCAAGAGAATTAGTTTGAATCGATGTAAACGATGGAGTCCCGAATGAACTGACTTCTATTTATTATCTTCTAAGACTGATTGGAACATTTCACCTTGTGTACAAACGACAATGCGTTCTGGGCTCGTGTCAATTTGTATTGTTGCGAATTGTTTTCGTTTTATCGACTTTTGCGACGGGACGCTCTTGGATTGGCTCTGTGACGTTATGCAGCAGTGCTTCAGCAATTGCAGCAATGTTCAGCTTCATTTTGAGTTCAGTGTCCCGTCTGTATGACGAAATTATGTCATTTTTTAAATAATGTCAGTCGAGAGTCGAGACGGTTTGCAGCCGTGGTCGGGAGCACATTAGTCATTCCAAAATTATAAATAAATCAGATTTCGCACCGCGTCTTTTTAGACACACGTCGAAGCGCCTCGATCCTCGCGGCTGCACACCCCAAACACTTGACAGGTGCGTTATAGGTTGACAACTTGGTCTCACCGCACGCATCCTCGCGGTCGCTCATTAAAGTTGCCCACCTATACTCGCAGCCGTCTGTATTTATTTCCGAGTTTGCGAGCGTGAATAGACTGAGTATTCGTCGTCGGTACGTGCGTCCTTCGCCGCCGCAGTGTGGTCGCGTAGTACGAGGACATTGATGTGACGAGCACGCGGCCACGCCTTCCGGGCGGTCGGTACAACGTCTGTGGTGTAAAAATTGTACAGTTTAGGGAACACATTTGTATATTTTGGCTTGGACGCGAAGCAGCAAGGGTGCAAGCGCGAGGGTGCGTAGCAGTAAGGTGTAGATGCCTCCGGATGCCGGCGCCGTGCAGGCGGTCGGCGACGGAGCGCTCGTATTTCAGATAAGTCACGGATAAAGTAGTCATCACAAAAATTGTATCCCCGCATTAGGAATTATTCATTTCGAGATAAGCATGTTTGAAATGTTTTATAATAACATAAAAAAACATCTTGTTGTGTCGTTTTCATATTTTTAGAGAGAAGTATAGATATGCGAATATTGTCGATATGTTAAATGGAAATTTTTAAATGGATCTTCTAATAATGGTTTTTATAATATTGTGAACAAATCGAAGTTTCACCTCGTTAAATGAATCGTTGATACCTATTGTACATCAATGCAGTGTAATCGAATGTAATAAAACTTTAAACGTGAGTAATACAATAGTTTTACCTAATTGTTACTTTCTATTTGCTAGATAGAATAATCAAATTAGAGCGAGTAATAAAGAAAACAAAGTCATATATTGTGATCTGTAGCGACTCGGATGTTCGTACCTTGTGCGGGTCGTGAACGTACATTTTATTATACGAAAGCTTTGTGCTAGTGACACGAATCGATGGCAGAAACGAGTGCGGTGTGTCATAAAGTAAGACTTACGTTTGTACGACAGCTGAACACTCGCGTGGAAGATGGACGATTTGTCAGCGACGTGCATGCGAAGCTTGATCACGATGAACATTATAAGGCACGGCATTGTTTTGTTCTTGTCCAGAGTGCTGCTATGTGAAAGTTTCGCCGTGATGGCACCAAAGTAATTCGGGAGGCCCCGGGGCCCCCGGTCGTTGCCACAAGGCGTATGTACTGTGTAGTTAACTAAATTATAATTTTAAAAATTCGCTTACTAAGTAAGTCATGTTCAGTCGGTCGGCTTGAGAACGCACGAGGGAGAGTTTGAGCTAGTTTTTAACTTTATGTATTATAATACATGATGCTTTTGAAACTGAATTGAATTCTTATTGTAAGTATAAATAAATATTAATATTCATAGAAACAATTCTCAGTGTTTATTTTTTTCTGTAAGTATGTATACTGTGAGAAATTTTGCATACGCAATCTGACTTGTATTCTGTTAAGGTCACAACCTGTTCAAAAATACGAAAATATTTGTTAACTCATAATTAAATAAAGCTTATTATAAGATATTTGTTTTATTCTTTACGAACTGCAGTTTGGGTTAAAGGAAGTGGGACAAAATTGAAAGACAATTATTTTCCTAACTCACTTTATTCCCAAGTCGTCGTTATGTTTGCCGATCTATAAATAACGAAATAACTTCACAATAAGACCCTAAAGACTATACTGATCAGAGCTAACATAATTGCACCGAATTAACACGAAAAATGCTTAAAACAAAACTTACCCTAGTTATAATTAAAATGATTTGTAAAAATCAAATTACATATTCCATAGCAGCAATATATTAATTTTGAAGTAACAAATAAATACAATAAACCTCTAATTCTCATCGAACACAAGTACTTGCTTAGGTCTAACTAATTATACGTCATAAAACAAGTTCTCACTAGCATAAAAATTAAAAGACGGGTGACCATTCCGAAGCACACATTAGACTTAGTATTTTTTTCAGCAACGTATTTCCAGTGAGCACTTCTTATCGTGAGCTTCTGTCAATCTCCTTAATGCATATATATAAAAAAGATAGACATACGATAAGTGGAGAATGTTAGCTTTTGAAACACGATAGACCAGTTCAAATTTAGACAGGAGAAATAATGTTTTTACGTCAAGTTGAAACTGTGCTTCGAGGAGACTAGAAAAACTACCCAAACAAAAGTAAAGGAAATTGGAAATAATGATTGTGAATCAAACTGGGGAATTCTCACTCAGCTACGTGGTCGTAATAACAATAAAAAAAGTCTTAATAACTTATAATAAGGAATATGTACCGCAGAATTGTCACACACAGTTCAAAAACATTAAAATGTATATCTGGACATAACCACTTTACTTACAAACTAATAAAAAGGAATAATTTCATTGAAAGCAAATATAAAATATTTATCTGTATAAAATAATAATAAAATAACGATCTGAAAGGAAATAACGAGAAAATGTATAAGAAGATACAAAATACGGATGTGGTATAAATTAAAATTCATTTACAGTGCTGTTGACAATGAAGCTCTTTATCTCTGTGATGTTCCTTGGGTCGTAATCGGACACTTCCTCGATGAGGATGTCCTCGTTCTTGACCGGTATGGGAGGGAAGACGTCGAGGAACTCCCCAAGCTTTCTCCCCGTGGAAATGAGCGTGTTGGTGAAAAACCCGTCATCGCTTACGTCATTTTGGTCCAGCTTCGGTTCAATCTTGTAGAAGTTCTCGTACTTCTCTTCCTTGACTATGGGCGGGAGGTAATCCTTCCCGTTCTCGTAGTCGAATTCCAGTTTTTTCATACGTTTCTTGAGATTTGGTGGCCAGTCCTCGTCTATGGGCAGGTCGGCGTATCCTCCCGGGAGGACTTTGTTCACGTCGAAGTTCTTGACAACTTGGTAGTCGTGGTCCGAGTGCGGGCGACTAAATGTGATTAGCTCATCCATGTTGAACTCGCCGTCGTCGATCACGGCCTCGTCCGCGGCGGCCATTTCTGAAAATAACATACAATATAATCGTTGTAACAGGTGAAACAATTTCGCTCGGTCTTGACATGTAATAAGTGAAAAGTTTTTGCGCTTGCAAGTGTGTTTGAAATAGCCCATATAGAGTTAAATCACATGCCATTTCAACCGTGTTACTTTACGAAGTCAAGAAGGTCTGAAGCAGGACAACAATTGCATTATTTTCTGTATTAAGACTAAGGCTCAACTGACGTTGCTTTTACTAAAAATATGTTCTTTTTTTACCGACTTAAAAAAAGGGAGGCGGTTCTCAATTCGACTGCTTTTTTGTATGGTCCCATTTAAATTTGAAGAAAATATTAAATCTCCAAGATCTAATGACTTTTGAGGTCGGTTTTTTAGTACTCTATTGAGATTTTATAATACCAAGTGACGGAACGAACAAGTCGTACGCCTGATAGTAAGCGACACGCCTGTCCATAACAGTTGCACTGCCATTCAGAGCTTTAAATCGCAAAAATGTGAGGGACACGACACTGCGCCTGTCACCCTGAGACATAAGTTGACAACTACCATGTCCTTATAATTTCACCAGCACCCTTACAAAGCGGAACGCAGTAATGCTCACATTACTGCTTCGCAGCGGAAATAGGTATTCACGAGGAGCGACAGAAAGGCGTGTCGCTTACCACCAGGTCCACAACATATTTCTCAAATGTTTGTGATGATATAAAAAAATATTCAACTCAGGTGAATTTGACATACGAATCAAAAGTGGTTTGTGGTCGATGTGACGTTTCATTTGTAATGTGATATAAAGATATTAGATTTGAACGTATTAACTAGATACGATATGATTCCCGAGAAGAAAAGAATTTTCTGGAAAAGGCGCGACCTGTTTTTTGTTAGTTTGTAAGTCACATAAATTATTCTAGTCAATGTGAATTGAGCCCATCATCACACATGTGGAAATTCTGCAGCGTAATTCGGCACAATTTAATTTCTTCTAATCAAAAATAAAAACACACGCTTGGCCATAATGTCACCCGATGTTGAGTGACGCTGCGACCGAAGATAGTACTTGTTTGTCTAAAAAATTGTGAAATGTTAGAAATAGGGAACATGAATCCCGACGGAATATTCCATTACTTTGTGGCAAAAAAGACCTCTGACTGATAGAAGCCGTATGACATCAAAGAGTTTTAGAGGTAGATAAAGTAGCCACAGAATGGTGGTAAAAAAAAAGCGAAAAGGCCAGTGGGCAAACCTTCGGCCCGATAGTTTGATGATAACGCCAGATTTGCGAGATCGCGCTGGATGTGGATAGCACAGGACCGTAAAAGTTGGTGCAATAAAGAAGAGGCCTGTAACCTATCTGTTATAGACTGACACTATATGCATAGTAAATTGTGGCAGAGTAATGTGAATTTACAAAAAGAAAAGAGTCAACATTAAGTAACTATTAACAACAAAAGTGAAACTGCTGAAATCATGTAAAATTAAGCAAAAGCATAAAAAAATAAGTAAGTTGATAGATAAAGACTTTAGGAAGGTGACGACATTGCGCGTTTAGTTTTTATTGCACAGAGATAGTGTAAATCAATCGTTTCTTTATGATCGCTGTACAGCTGGTAAGCAATGGAAGAATTCGCGCTTAAAATAGTCTTGCGAAGTGTGAGGGGAATATCAAATGATTTAAGGTTTAGGATTGAACTGCGGTTAATTTGCTCGTTTAATATTTTAAATAAGTCTACCCGTGTTCGCCTTTCGCATGATTAACATTTTTCTGTTTTTTGATGCAACAAATTAACCTTTCCCTGCCGCACACAAAATACGAAAGGTCAAAATCGGAGTCGGCCACATGAATCACGGTCGGGCGCAACGAATTGCGCACCAATTGTCCGTCAGGCCCGCCGAGAGAAAGGCGAGGCCCCACTGCGAGAGGGCGGGAAGCACTCACGGCTGGCGGAGAGCAGCGCGCGCGTCACGGCGCCGGGCGCGGGCGGCGCCTGCGGCTGGCGGCGCGCGCCCAGCTCGTCGCGCACCGACGGCAGCGCCACCAGCGCCACGGACAGCAGCAGCACCAGCAGGCACGTGGCCGGCGGAGCCGCCTTGCCGCCGCCGCCGCCGCCGCCGCCCGCCGCGCTGCAGCCCGTCAGCACGCTCTGCGAACAGGCTCGCGTTAGGCCTTGCACTAACCTCCTAAGCGCTACATGCACGAAATTCGAAAGGCAACAGTTTTAGCAAACTGATAAAATAGGTTTAAAAAAATGACGTGAAAACATCAGCCAAATATCCAATTTCGCTAGTACTATATTTCATATTAATAACACACACACTCGTAGCCCCGCATTAGGGAAACCCTGTATCGCGGGTGCCATGGATACACATACACAAAGATAACCACAAATTACAATCAAACTCACGAGAGAAATAAATGTAAGCCATATAAATATTTCTACCAATCCGGGAATCGAACCCGAGACCTCTGCGTGGCAGGCCAGCATGGTCGATCGAGAGTTTTATATACATTTTTCTTTAATTTGTTTCGTCAAAAATTTTACTTTTTGAACTCGGTCACCTTACTATTGACAGTAATATATACAAGGTGAAATAAAATGTGATGAAGAATTAAAAGTCATGGAACAAAAATTGTTTACGAGATTAATAATATTATAGTCATATTATTATTACACGCAAAATAAGCGCTTTGTCGTCGAGTTGCAGATACCAGCCCGTTGCACCAAGTACCAAGTAATATTATAGTCCTCTGAAATTTTTTTTAGTATTTTAAAAATAACCCTATATACATTAAATTACCGACATCACAAATTACTCATTTCAAAATTCGGACACTGTTTAATACATTTTGACAATAAATAGTAATTGTTAATTTACTTTTTAAATAACGTAAATTTTTCCTCACATTTCTAGCGAAGCAACACACTGAAATGGGTCACATAATCGAGAACCCTCTACGGAGTCATTAAATGCCAAATTAAGCCCAAACTACGTCGCAATCGATCCTAAAACGTAATAAATAAAACCGACTAAGAGCGTGTCAAACACGCCCATTGTAGGGTTTCGTAGCTGTTATATAATTGGGCTAAAGCACCTTCTATTTCAACTTTGTTCCGTACGTAATAAGAGCTACTTTAACATGTCAATAGTGTAAAAACTACTTTGATCTTTTGTGAGCTCTAAGTATAAAAAGATTATTTCACAAAATTTCACTAAGTATCGTTACTAGTTACCGACAATAACTAAGAGAGGTAGTTATGTTACTTTCCAAATTTTGGTTAGAATATTTCTCAACTGTAATTTTAAGAAAGGTTTTTTTTGTCGAAATAATACAATACGTCCAATGAGAAAGGATGAGTCAACTACAAAAGATGTTTCTGTGTATTTCATCAGATAATTATTTCTCGAAAAAAAACGCTTTTTACGCGCTAAAATTTGATAATTATTTCTCGAAAAAAATCGCTATTTTGACATCATCACCCGTTTATATGTCCCACTGCTGGGCACGGGTCTCCTCTACGCGGTTTGGGGACTTTACACGTTTTCCGAGGGTAGTGAACCTTCGACGACATGCAAGTTTTCCTTCATCGAAAAGCTCATGGCAAATTTCAAATATATATAATAAATTTGGCACATAAATAAACTCAAGAGGTGCAAGCCGGGATTTGAACCCACGGCCTCTACTTGAGAGGCGGTAGGTCGAATCATTAGCAAAAAGAACAAAAAAGTAACGAGAATGGACACTCTCTCCCCCTCTCTAGCTTTAGGTACCGCACCACGCCCCGCACATTGACTGAACGACAACGAGGCTGTCGGCGAGCCGTTTTCGCGGTAAAACGGCTATGTTATATTTAAATATAGTTTTCATCATTAAGAAATTTGTACATTAATATATAACATCACTGTACATTCCTATTTATAATTGTCGAAAGTTGTGTTACGTACGGCTGTTTATTTATTACGGCGGCATCATCTAAACGGGATAATAATAACGCACACACTCAACATAGCCTCGCATTAAGGAATCCCTCTGTCGCGGGTACCATGGACACACATAGAAAACCACAAATTACACACAAACCCATGAGAGAAATAAAATGTAAGCTATAGAAATATTTCTCCTGACCCGGGAATCGAACCTGGGACCTCTGCGTCGCAGTCGGCATGGTAACCGTTCGGCCACCGGGGCAGTTAAATAAATGGATAGAAAAATAAAGGGATAAAGAGAGGTTTCTTTCGTTTTCTGAAAGACGAAACGAGGTAAGCGAAAAAACTTATGTCTGAGACTCATTCAGTTATTGTTAGTAATATATAATACAGATTTATTATATCAATATGATGGAGATGTATTAGACTACCACGGCTTTTTTTTTTATTTTGACAAGCACTTGGTTTGTCTTGCTCTCGCGCTTGCAATGTTTATAAATGTATTGAATCATTATTGTTTACAAGAACAATGTATCATGTTCTTATTATACGTTTCGCTTCCGCTGGGAACGTGGACACGAAATACACGCTTTGTCGCTCTTATAGCTCGGACAAAGAGCTTTTTCTTACCGATTTTGCGTTAAAAGTGCCATTGAAAACGAATTATTATTAACGAAACCGCTCACCAAATTGATGCAATAACCGAAGAGCTACACGTGAAGACTAAAATAATAGTATAATTGTGTAGTGTAGTATAAGAAGACATTACTAACGAGAATCTATTTAGTTTTTTTTATAACATAATTCAATGACTCGATGTTTGTAATTTTTACCGCCCCCGTGCAATATACATAGAACGTTTTTCGTCATATTTGCGAGGATATAAACATAATGATAATTTATTTCTTGTATGAATCGCGTCACAACACAACAATAACAGATATTGCTATTGGTGGGTTTTTTATAATAATCAGATGGCTAGTTATTCTTCCATAGATGTTCCGTAAATGAACTCAAATGTTGTAGAGTTTGAATTTGAATTTATAAAATTAAAATATAACTATAATTATAAAAAAAAATATAGTTAAATTCCAAGTGTTTATGGTTTTTTTTTTTCTATGCTTCAAGCTTATGCGAAATACATTCAGATTTTTCGAGCATAGACGTTAAGAAGTACAGTGCAATTAAAAAACATTTTATACTGCCCTATGGCGGTAATGTAATGTAAAAACCCGGTTAAAACCAGTGTTTTATTCTAGTGTTCCAATATTGTAATTTCTGTCTGTATCTTGTCGATAAATATATATCTTTTTATATAGTTTGTTACTACCACCTTGTATAACTTTATGACATACAATAAAAGTGTTAAGTATGTTATCTTATATTGATATCCGCCACGAATTATCAAATAAGCAAACCGTGTTTTTCGTGGCAATAATTTTTACACGCGACGGTAAGGTTATATATACTACAAAGGTTTAGGTCATAGGTTCCCAAACTTTAGTAAGATAAAAAATTTCAACGCCTACCACCACAAAAAATAAACGAAAACACGTATTGTTGGTATTAATTAACACAAAAATCACAAGGAAACAAATTATATATTGTGTAATTATATATTATACGAGCCCTATACCCCCACCTACTCGGCCTGCGGCGCGTGGTCGGTTTCAGATTACGGGGTGTGCTTATACTCTTCGGTGGCACAGTGATTAAGTACTATGGGCGCTTGATGAGGAAGTTCAAGATTCGATCCCTGATTTGAGCCAAAAAAATATAGTACAGGAAATTCCCTAGAAATTTGGAGTGATTGTCTGGAATTTTTTCCTTAAACTTCTCTTTTTGGCACAGGTTCCAAGAAAAAAGAATCTAACAGAGATACGGTCGACATACAATAACGCTATAAGTATCTTATTTCCGGAAAGTAATCCTTCCATTTTGAACAATTGTGAAATCTTGTACCGTAATAGAATCTCCGTATACTACCTACGTAAGGTGGCGTGCGGAGGCTTCGGGCTTCGCCCTCCGCTACACCTCGGCCTACGGCCTTGGCACTTATAACTTTTAAAAAAATACCATAGCTCTTTAAGGGCCATATTGACAAATGGCAAAAAGTAAATTTTGACTGCAAATTCTAAAATTTTCTACTCTAACAAATGCTTGTATGGCGGTCATATTTATTTAATTTAATTTAATGGCGAAAAACCAATTTCGAGCACAAATTATTATCTGGGACTTCTAGAAGCATATGTCAATTTTCAGCTGAAACAGAGCGAGTTTATTTCGGCTGCTGTTTTTGTCGAAAAAATCATTTATTTTTTATAAAAAATGGCGAAAAAAAACTTTTGACCCCAAAATTATGATTAAGGACTCCTAAAGACCGCATGCCAATTTTCAGCCGCATAGAAGCAAGTTTTTCTGCGGCCGCCATTTTGGATTAGCCATCTTGAATTTTTTTACACAGGCAGTTGACCACAATTACCCTCTATGACATTCCTTTGAGCACCTTCTACCTATCTCTAATAGTTTCCGTGATAGAAGGCTTCGAAATTTGTATGGCGGCCATCTTATTTATTTGAATTTCGAACATTTTTTACTTTCTGCAAAAATTGACCAAGGTGTATCTTAGTTTTTGCAGGCCGTTGATCACTCGTTTACATTTTCCACCATCAGGTCTTCTCATATTTGATTCTTTGCCTTGGAGCCTATCCGCGTACAAAGATCTGGTAGCATGCGTTCTATTTTTCTTAGTGAGTCAGGATTTGTAGCTTTATATATATAATAGTGTAGTTTAATATAATTCAAGTCAATTTCAAATGTGGTAGCACCCCCAGGACAGCATCAACACCCCGCAATTGCTTCCGAGGCCTCTACCCTACCCTACCCTAGTGGTAGGGGCCACTTTGGAAAACTATGGTTTAGGTAATTAACTAAATGTAAACGTTACCTGGTTACTTATTGTAAAATTATACTTTTTGGAAGTAGTTCTAAATATATGATAACAATTTCAGGTAATAGATAACATTTTGAACTACCTATTTAAAATAGTAGTAAATATATAATATAAATATTACATTTAATTTAAAATGTTTAATAACACGTATCACACCTTTCCTACGATAAACAACCTAAAATTCAGCCTTTAATAATATGACAACTAATAACATGCAGCGCACAAACCTAGTCCAGAAAGTCCAGGCTTGGGGGTCTGCCAACGAGCTATGGAGCGCAGCATTATGGGAGTCAAATTGTCAGACAGAATCAGGAACAATGATCTACGCTCCAAAGCGCGAATCGTAGATGTGGGCCAACAAGCGGGTAAACTAAAATTGGAGTGGTCGGGTCACGTCTATCGCATGTCAGACGAGTCGTGGGCAAAGGCCATCACAGAATGGATCTCCAAAAATAGAAAATGACCATGCGGCAGGCGAAAGCGTCGATGGAGAGACATGCTAGATCTGCACCTAAAACACTGGACCTCAGTAGCGCAAAACAGAGAGATGTGGAGAGAGGGGAGGGAGGCCTTTGCCCAGCAGTGGGACAGTATAGGCTTTAAAAAATAATAACTTGCGACCTAATTAAAGAGTGCAGCTGTAATACGACGTATGAAACTCACTACTAAATATTGTATTTCACCGATTAACCAAACGACATTTGTTAACTTTTAGTTAATTACATAGACCTTTATACTATGATGCATGAATTAGCCGAGATAAAGGACTGAAATATGAGACGCGGTCGTACAGACCGAAACGAAACAAATAACAAATGTAGCGAAAACTTAATGCCTGCACGGTACTATCACATATATCGAGCGTAAATGCGCGCATATACGCACACAGTTCAATGGCGTAATTATCGGTAGACTTTAAAAACAACGGAGAAATGGACGTCAATCATATTACAAAGTGCAATGCGATGAGCTGACACAAAGTAACAAACCATTCTTCGTCCTCTCGCTTATCATTTGCGTCCGTTCGTTCAACCCAAGAGATATCCCGTTGTTGCAACACTACAAATTAGAACACAGTCACAAATGTCGCTAAACACTTATAGCTTTATGCTCAATTTACTTTGCTGAACAACAAACAGCATAGCATTTTCCAAGCCAAAAAACAGGTCGAGTGTTTTTAGGAGAATTCTCACACAATATCAGTTTCTACGTTAGACAAATGTAATGCTTCCAGTCCGTTCTGCGACAATGCAAACTGAACCTAACACAAATATATTCTAAATCTCTTTGAACAAATCGATGGCTTGCGATGATACAGGTGACGAGGGAAAATCTCACATATAGCGCAAAGTGGTCACATATTTTCCAAAGTTAAATCTTCTTAGCATGTTGACTCTGATGTTTATATTTGTGTTGTGTATGTCCAAAGTTAATATAATTCTTAAAATAAAGAAGCGTGGACACGAGAAGATGGCTTTTTAGAATAGGTATATTGTAAACCCAATGTGGTCACATGATTTATTTTAACTTCTTCCCAATATTTTATGTAATTATCAAAACAACAAACACTACAAATCACACATTAAGAAACATTTTTTGAAAACTGAAGATATAAACTTTATTTTGTTAATTGCTTCATTGTTATTATATGCCATTGATATGCACATGTGAGTGAGCATGTTTTTGTACCTATATTGTCCAGAAATAATTTAGTTAGGTTTTTAAAATGTTTGCTCTATTATCTTAAATAGACTGAACTCCTTCGCCGGGGATAAAGCCGGAAGGGCTTTTGTGAGCGAAGCTTGTAATTAGTAAATAAGTATTTTTCTTGTATTTTGTATAAACAAAAAATTAAAATAAGGACAACATTTGCTGGTGTCATTGTTATTAAAGAAGGAGGATGATCCCAAAATTGCTAAATAAGCGCTTATTTATCACTTCAATGAGTAAACAAAGTCAAAACAACAATAGCCACACACAATACAAATTAGAATATTGATAACCATCGAAACGTGACAACGGCTAGTCCAAAAATTGCTAAAAAATCATTCCAAATTTCTTTTCAAAGTGATTTTCGAATCTCTCAACATAATGGAAGATACTTTTGTCAGATAATAGATATAATTTTTTATAAGCGTTTGTTAATCTTTTTATGTTTTTAAGTCACTTCGTTGTCACGTAGGTGACAAAACATTATCGCCGCAAGGGGGCGCACTAAAGTATTCTTAAGTTTTATAAAACTGTTCAATTAATTTGCTTAGTGACTGTACCGTCATTGTAACAGAACTTAGATTTTTCGTTAAATCTTGGAGCCAACAAATATCGTTATTTCTATTTCATAATAATATTTATAATAAGCACTCAAGTCTGTAAAAACCTTATGCCATTAAAGAAACAAACAAGTTATTGACGACTTAACATACACTAAACAGTGTCTGAATTTATAAATCACATATCCTAAAAATTCATTGTTAAATGTTTGACATACATATATTTATTTTGACGTTATTCAAATTTTTGTTATTTGACATCAACATGGTTATCATTAAAATTGACCCATTTCACTATCACCGCGTTTAAATGACTGCCTGACTTAATAAATCAAGTGTGCACGCCCATGTAATATTATTGAAAAAGAAACATGTTGCACTTGGTTTAGTCTGTCGAAGTGCATGCGAGTGAATGTATAAATATACCTTCAATATTTCGATACCTCCAATGAACACTACTACGCCAACTAAATTTTTGGACCTGTTCTTTTTATTTTGTTTTTTGTTTCTTTATTTTTTCACAAATTAGGTTTTTTTCGACGTTTGTTTTTTTCTTTCTTTTTTTCACAAAATTCGGGGAGCATAATATTAGTAAATAAATATGGCTGTTTTCATTAGAACTATCGATTTGTAATGATGTCGTTGTCAGCTTCTATACAAACTGTTTTCACAAATGCATTAATTATGGAATATTTCTCTTATAAAATAGACAGGTAGATCATCGTCACGAGCTCATTACACGTCCTACTTCTGGCCACGGCTATCCTCTAATAAGAGAGATGCTTTAGGCCGAAACCGCCACGTTTTCCGAGGATGGTGAACCTTCTTCAACGAGCATGCACATCATATCGATGATTTCCTACACCATGGGTGAGATCTATCGCCAGAATTCCAAGTCATAGGTACATGGCGCCGCAGGAATTTGAACCGACGCCCTCTTAATTGAGAAGCAATTGCTCTTCCACTGGGTTACCACAGTAGGTCCTAGCATAAGTCACATGATTAGTCACTCGAACAACGTAAACATGTTAAAGCAAAGTAATAAATACCTGTAATCTCTTCAACTGTGCGGTTAGAGACTGGTTTTGCGACTGCAGAATCTTTATTCTTCTTATGAGCGTCTGATTTTCTGCAGTACACTGTTTTACCCTAAAACAAAACAATTAACAGTTTCAATTATAGCCCAAAAGCTCCAAAGCTCCTGCTAATCTCCATACTACACTACAGATAGTTACCCTTAAAATCACATAATTAGAGACACTAACCTGTCTTCAAGCCCGTCAACGTACTCCTTCTTTCTCTTCCTAGAATCCTGCGCGGAGATCTTATTCCTAATTTTCCTGCGAATCCTCTTCAGTTCTCTCTCCTCGTGTTTTGTCAGTGGATAACTCGTGGGTAGAGTGATTCCCTCCTTTGCCAACAGCCGCCTTTCTTCAGCTGTTAGAATGAGACGGGGGTAACCATTGCGACCGTCGTTGACTTGGACTTCCTTGTCGTCTTCGTCTTCGCTATGGTCGCTTCCAGAATCCTCTGAAAGGGCATATAAAGTTATGATGCTATTTGTTAAGTGCCCTAACTTTTCGAACACGTTTCTTAAAAAGATGTTTTAAGGTTTTGAGTCTTATTGGTTAGTTACTGACCGCAGGCTGATTTCGTATAGAGTCAGATACTTCAGGTCTAAAGGGTTAAAATGCATAACCACGTGGTGACACGATCTCGCACCATAACACGACAAAAACGTCGTGCCGAGGTGCTCTAGGCAAAGGGTTTGGTTACAAACAACATTAATGAAAGCATACAGTATTTACTATTATAGATAAATGATGTGATTGGAAATGAAATCCGTAGACAAGATAGCGCAGACTTACCCCAAAAAGCCTACCAACACAGGTTCATCATCATGTGAACGTGGATACCATTCACAAACGTCGTAAGACGTTTCAAACGGACAATATCATTTCAACTAGTGTAGTGTTAGTGATTATACTAAATAGTGTCCGTGCAACTGAACAAAAAGATCACATGGTAAAAGACCCCAATATGATTAAGTGAAATGTAAATTACTTATTAGTGTTGTGCATGGCTAGATTGTAACGTATTTATAGGTAATGTACATTGACTTACAATTATATGGACGTCGGGTCCGCGCTAAAAAGTGTCCGAACTTATAGGGCGTTAAAATCGTATACAGAGCGTCATTCACGCTTTAGTCTTCGTTTGTTCGACTGACAGCGAAGCAAGCAAAATTAGACAGTACTGCGATATCATTACAATTTAAACTCAACGTTTTAGCTTTTTCATATTCCTTTACATGTCACTACGTTTAAATAGGTTGACTTGGGACATTTGTTTCGTGGTTTTTGTATTAGACCCGTCGTCCATTTATTTGTAAGTCAATGGTAATGTACGTTATTTGTGCCTTATAAATGAATGGAAAAAAAAAGTTTTTGTTTATTTCTTACAAAAGGCATAAATTATTGTTTCTGTCTTTCATCCCCTATATCAACCCGTTTAAGATTTATTTTTCCGACAAAACGTAGCCTATATCCTAAGTCCCACATATCTCTATACTAAAACTCATCAAATTTGGTTCAGTTGTTTAGGCGTGAATTTACAATATTAGTTTGGATATGTGTGTATTTCGCATAATCAACTTATTTTGCAAATTATGCAAATGCGTCGTATATGTTTATAAGCGTAGTTCATACAACTAAGCAAACATTCTTTCGGAACAAAGTGCAAAATTCTTATTATTTTAATACCATACACGTGACCGTGTGCGTGGTGTGAGTGACCTACGAGGAAGAGGCCTTCGCTCCCAAAATGTTGACTTTTCTCGTTTGAAAGGCTTTGACAATGTACTTATTGTATTTAGCAAGGTTTTATATATACTGTTAGTGATAAGATGTGTATAGATCTACTTTCTCGAAAATAATGTTGTATTAAGAACAATAATAGTACATTTAATAATAATAATATTGTTTATGTAAAAAAAAACGAACTTTAAGAGCTGCTGTGGGCCAGTGATAGAGAAAGCGACGCTTCGAATTTATGAATGTTTAATAGCAATATCTCTCGCTAACGGTGCGGTGATAGTGGCCAAACGGATTGCACTGTGGGTGTTAGATGAAGAAGTCCCGGATTCAATTTCCGGCAGGATCAATTTTGGAAATCTGGTACTCATGATACAGGGATTCAACTTTGAGACCAGGTAATTGTGTAATTGTCTGACACGTTATTATTATTAATTTGAAAATATTAATAAAAAAAAAAGAATTTGATAACAGAAAAACAATAGCATGTAGAGACTAAATGGAAATCAATTATTGTTCAGATTAATAGTGAAACATTTTTAACGTTTCTTTTTTATTGATTCTGTTGCTGTGAGTTCATTGAGATCTGAATCAAAAACACATCACTGTACAATAGAAATGGCAACATTATTTTTTTTAATGACATTAATAGCTGTCAGTTTGCTGTTCATAATTTAAAATCCGTCTATAGAAGCTGCGTGAGTTTGAGGAGGCATTATCAACTGGTTTAGCCGCCTTCGGCATCAACTGGTATTTAGTTATGTAATTTTAAACTTAATCTCGTTTCGGCGAGTCCGGTTTAGCTGAGAATTTTCCTACATTAATAGGCTGATTAGAGAAACGGCTGCCTTTAATGCAGGAGACCTGAGTTCAATTCCCGAACACGTGCACTATAGTATTTTCATTTCATCGATTTCTTCAACGATAAAGGTATACTTCAGGTATTTCATGTTCATGTAGTTAAAGAAATTTAAGCAAACCTCTGCTGGTCATGTATCTCCACAGGGTTTACCAATGCAAGTTAGGATCAGGAAGTCCAAATAACCATTTATTCCGCAAGTAAAATTTTTACACTTCAAAACGTCATTTTTTTAAGCTACTGCTCGTTCGCGGCTGACTTCCCTGATAAGAACGAGCAAGAAACTCTAGGGATTGCTCTTTTCAAATAAACTTAAAGGCTATGGAATACAATTTAAATCATAATATTTGTGTGGAATTTAGACTCATGTCGTCTTTCCATACATGTTTTTTTTTATAATATCTAATGACGGGACGAACACGTCCAACGAACACGCGCACGACTGTGCACCTGATGGTAAGTTACACGCCTGTTCATAACAGTTGCAGTGTTCCTCAGAACTTTAAATCGCAAAGATCTGAGGGGCACTGCCACTGCGCCTGTCGCCCTGAGACCAGCATCCGAACACAGTAACGCTGACGTTATTGTTTGCAGAAATAGGTAAGGTGGCCTTGGACGAACTTTTTCACAACGGAACTACTGCTACTAAAATATAACACGTAGTTTTCAATTTTGTAATATGCCTTTTCTATTAAAATACTTTTGATGTAAGTTTTCAACTTAGGAAATGATAATCTTAAATATATTAAGATCTAAGAGCTCCGAAAAATGATTGCAAAAACGTATACAGTTCCCCATAAAAGAATCGTGTACTTTAGTTAAGAACGAAAGTGAGAAGTCAGAAGTAGAGTAGAAGGACTTTAATAAAAATATTCTTTTTATGTGTCAGTCAATAGATGGTCGATAGTTTCGATGCAAGGTATCAAGTAAACAATAGCTGTAAAGACCAATGACCGCATAAATCAATTCGAATCGTGGCGCGGACATTTGTCTAGATTCTCCCAATTGCTTTCAATAGTTTCAATCAACGACAGTGGCTGAACTGACGCTCGCCAATTATACCCATTATTAATGTTAACATTCTTATTATATCTTATTACGTCCCACTTATGGGCACGAGCCTCTTCTAAGGAGATGGTTTCACGCTGGCCCAATGTGGGTTTAGTCACTTCACGCGTTATCCAAAGGCTGTGAAGCTTTTTCCACGTTCAGGTCTCATCATGTTTTTTTTTCACCGTTGTGAGAGATTGCTATTAAACAAATTTATGAATGACAAAATTGTACTATCATTTCTTTATAATTTAAACTTATTATTAAATGATTTATTTAAATTAATTTTAATCTATTTTATAACCGTTTTTTTTAATTTGAAATTAAATAATATTAAAAAAATATTTAAATTTTGATAAATGTTTATCATGCTGGACTGCCACGCAGGGGCCCCGGCCCGGGTTCCATTCCCGGGCCGGGAGAAATATTTGAACAGCCTACATTTATTCCTCTCGTGATTTTGGCTATAATTTGTGGTTGTCTATGTGTGTGTCCACGGCACGGCACGATACAGGGTTTCTCTAGTGCGGGGCTATGAGTGTAATTATTATTCATACTGATCTACTCAGAACCAAATAGATGGTTATCAGAACAAAATATAGGTATAAATGTCGTGGTAATATTCTGGGAAAAATTATATGAAATACATTGCTACAGCAGAGGGAGAACAGTTGCTTTTCAATTGAGCAACATGTACCTATTAGTACAGGTACCAATACTTTCAATTAACGGTGAAAGAAAGCATCATTACGAAACCTGAATTTCGAACCTTCAAAAACAATTCGCTCTGGGCATTTTGCAGGGAAAAGTGTCGTTTTTATTTTGACTTTCAATTATTTTGTGAAATCTAGTTTAAAGTGGAATAGGATTAATAATAATAATAACGCACACACTCAACATAGCCCCGCACTAGGGAAACCCTGTGTCGCGGGTGCCATGGACACACACATAGACAACCACAAATTACACCCAAACTCACGAGAGAAATAAATGTAGGCCATACACATATTTCTCTCGGCCTGGGAATCGAACCCAGGACCTCTGCATGGCAGTCCGGCATGGTAACCGTTCGGCCACGGAGGCAGTTAGAGCAGGATAGTACTATTGTGCCTTAATCGAAGATTAAAACGCGAAATTATACGAATCTTTATATATCTCTCTCTCTTATATGAATATCTACGAATTATACGAACTAAAATACCCGTATCGGCCCGTTCTAAGGAATCCCGAGTCAATCCAATCACGCCGCCTCAAATTGCCTATCCTCTTTGTGGCGGCCATATTTACAGAAACATAATTAAACGAATACATGGCTCAAAGGACTTGTATCCAAGCCAAAATTATTAATAATAAATAAAACCTCCAAAAACGTGTTAAGTCCCCAACCCGCATTGTAGTGTAATATACGAATTGAAATTAATGCTTTGTGTAAAGAAAAATGTACGATGAAATCAGAGTAATCAAGAACCAAAACCGTAAATAAATTACTTGTTCGTGTATCGAATCGACAGACCAATTAAGTGGATTTGGTATCACGTGGAATTCAGTAGGAAATTTAAACTTACCAACCACAAGACTTTAACAGTGATATAGAATTACCTTTTTAAATTAATTATAAATTATTAACCTAAGAACTCGATATAAATTATTAATTTTTTAATAATATTATCGTAGTCTGTCTTTTTTGAAGACGGAGTAAAATGACATTTATACGGTTGCCAGTTTAAACAAAATTTTAAATAGGCATGTAGTTTTTGTCGATAGTTTTATCGATAGATTGTGAAAGACGATAAAAGTTTGCCAAAAACGACTGAATTGTGAATGTTACGGCGTTCTAATGATTAGTAATTGCGTTGTTGCCTTCTTTATTCTTATTTTGACAGTCGACCTACTTTCTAGCACTTCGATGCTTTGTGATAAATTTTTATTCATATACATTTTAACAAGAATAGCCGGATTTGATTATCTATATTGAATGAAAATGGAAAAGTTTTTCATACACATAGATTTAAATACAGTACAGTATGTATGTTTGAACTTACAAAAATTGACAATTCAAATGAACTTGTGCGTGTGGTCGAGGATGATTGAAATGAAACAAGTTCGGCTATTTTATGACCTCAGTGACCGGTGAATTTTCGCATTTACGTTGTCGCCGGTACCACATGATGTCAAAAGTGAAACATCGTCGGCAAACATGACACAGTGTTCAGAAATAGATTTAGGTAAGTCATTGATGTAGATTAGAAAAAGTAAACATCCAATCACGCTGCCCTGCGGTATTGACTTTTCACGTAATGCTGGTCAGATCTAACGTTACGTATTGTACATGTATTATAGTCAAAAAATTCTATGTCAACATACTGAACTCGGTTTTGTAAATAAGATTGCAACCACTTGTATGCTTCTTCCCTAATACCTATACTATACAGTTTTCTTAGTAGAATATTATATTGCACTTTATCATAAGCATTCGTCATATCTAATAACAATCCATAAGCGTGACCAATATTCAGTATTCGATAGAATATTCATCGACTGCAATCACTAGCTGCTCGCAAGCGGGCAACACTTTTGCGCAATGGACTGTCATTTTACCCCGTGTACAAAAAAGACAGACTTCAGACCATAGTAACGTGAAACAAGGGTTAAAACTCACCGCACTGATTGTTATCGTAGTCACAATCGCTCCTTTCCACCTTGAGATCCTGCAATTTGCTCTGCGATAACAGATTGGCTGCCGCCAACTTTATATTTGACGCATTTTTTAAATCCGCAGCATTTATTATCTTAATAGACTTCAAATCTTTCATATCCTTAATAGTGACTGGTAACAGAATCGATCTAGGGTTCCCGGCCATAGGTGCAACGCGAATGACCTTTCTCTGGGGTGCGACTGTCTCCACAGGCTTACAGTACACCCTAGGTTGATGGTTGATCACTTGAATATTAGCCACTTTCAAAGGCTTCTGAGGTTGAGCCTTTACAACCAGTTGGGGTTTCTGTACGGTCTGGACGGGGAGTTTCAAAGTGGATCGTTGCACTTTCGGCTGGACCACGACTAGCGGAGTTTGGGAGAGTCGGCGTTTTCTACCGGATTTACCTAAAATAAGAGGTACAATTAGACATATGTATACGGAGGCATTTGCAGGTCATCGCATCCTTTATCATCAACGGACATAACTATAAATTATGATAGGACAAAAACAAATTTTATATACATTTTGAATAGTTTAAGCCCCCGATGCGTATATGTGTGTCTGTCATAATCGTGGCATCGTAACTTCCTAACAAATGGTCTAATCTAAAGTAGTTTTTATTTGAAGGTTAATTTAATCTGGATGGTTCTTAGTTATGTTTGATGATCATCTGTTCAGCTGTTTAAAGATCATCAGCTCTTTTCCCAATCAATGTAGGAATCTCAGTCATTAAGATACTTCTAGAATGCGTAAATAATAAAATTTTCCACCGAAATATGGTAGAGAATATACACCTGAAAATGACGAATTAAGTGGATTTAACAAGTAAGTTGATTACTCTATTTAAAAAAAACGTATAAGAATCTAATTCGCAAGTGTTTTCTGTATAAATCAGAATTATTTTATTTTCTCCTACAATTATCAGAATGTTCCAATTAAAAACAAATTAAGCGACTGGTTACGTAATCTTAATCGCATAAAATCAACTTCGAACTATGCACATACTTAGGGAGACACCATACTTGCTAACGCGAAATCGGCTTGAGCCGATCTGAAAAAGCTTTATGTCCATGCAATGAGTGCGAAGACATTGAGCGCTTCGCTTCCGCTCGGGCAGCCGATACGAAATGTACATCGTCTTTTTCGCTCTAATGCTCTGGTCACACAGAGGAGGCCGCGGAAGCGTTCCGGACGCGGGAATTTTATTAGTAATGTACGAGGTCATATGAACCCTGCTACATCGAAACGCGTGTCGGCCGCGCTTTTCATTTTCGCTTTCGCGACCGCCTCTATGTGGCCAGAGCATAAATGCTGTTCGATTTATTTCAGAGTCGAGGGCGCGTCAATGGGTATGGTATAACGACTTATTTCAATAAATAAGAGTCGCGGGCGGCTGGCCGCTTGCGATTCGTATTTATTAGTGCCATTTTCCAGTAAGCGACTAGCCGCGACCAACAGCAGCTGTAGTGGCTAGTTTTACTTCCGAGTCGCGGCCGCTGTGGATATGATATAATTATGTATATGACTTATTTCAATAAATTGTGCGTGGCTAGCCGTTTAGTGGAAAATCCCTCATAAAATAAGTCATATGTCGGTCGCTTGCGGCTTGTCGCTTATTGGAAAATAGCTCTTATATTATGTGAACATTTTTCTAGACCGGCTATGCTCTAGCCACAAAGAGGCGGCCGCGGAAGTGTTCCGGGCGCGGGAATTTTTGTAATGTACGTATAGACCCGTGACCGGAATGGAGGGAGTTAATTTAGCTAAACTAAAGAATAACGTGGATTATTATTAATATTATATATAATATTAATAATAAAATTCCCTCAAATATTTTTATAACGCACACACCCAACGTAGCCCCGCACTAGGAAAACCCTGTGTCGCGGGTGCCATAAACACACACATAGACAACCACAAATTACACCCAAACTCAGGAGAGAAATAAATGTAGGCTATACAAATATTTCTCCTGGCCCGGGAATCGAACCTGGGACCTCTCCGTGGCAGTCCGGCATGGTAACCGTTCGGCCACGGAGGCAATTCAGAGAGGCAGAGGCAGGAAGAGAATATTCATATTATTTATTGAAATATGAGTAATTTGGCGACAATTATTTCCTCTTAAGTATTTGCCGCAAACTATTGTCTAAAAAAGTAGTGCTTCTGTAGGTACTTAAGTATTTAAATACTTTAGCCATTTAAAAAATAAACATGAAACCACCTATATTTTTGGACTCTTTAGAAAATAAAGAGTGGAAAAGACATTTTATACACATTAAAGACATACTAAGAAAACGTTCATACTTTAGATAGAGTAAATCCCTCAATTCCGATCACTGGTAAAACGTCTGCAAACGCAATAAGCAAATTTCGTCCATCTCCTATGAATTATGCGGTTTAAAACTTTATTTTCTCAATGGAATAACTTAAATGATAAACTTAAAAATGGTAACATTATATAAGCTATAAACATAGTACGTCGTACGACAAGCGCTAAACACATAAAATCTACGTAATACAAATGTAACATTTTTAAGAGGTGGGTAGTTTTGACTCGAGCAACAGCGTGCTGAGCAAGAGTATCGTGCGTTTGCGCGAGCGTAGTCTACACAGATCGGCAATAATTAGATGTGTCCAGAAAAGTACGTTGCAGATTTTGTGCATCTTAAGGCAAATTTATCGGGTCAACGTAATTTCGAATTAGAACTTACGAGTTATAATCAAATATAAAAAAGGCAGATAGCAGACGATTGGTGAATGTACGCTTTTGAAAGCTGAGTAAATTCGTCTTACGCAGTATGACAAAAATGATTCAGATACGGCAGTTAACGAACATAGTACTGTTATTTCCTCCTTTCCAAACAATATTTCCATATTTACACGCCTCGTTGATATTCTAATATTTGATGGGTTATTTCTTAAGGTCGACCTCATATTTGCGTTTAGAATACCCCACTCAATAACTATAATACAATTCAATTGTAGTCAGTGCAAACAATTACATAAAGATTAACATAATGTGGGAACTATGCCAAGCGTACATAGATTTTGGTTCAATTTCGTACACTGTTTATTCAAGTGTAGCTTCTATATGAATTACTTAAATACCATTGTTTTCAAGGCCTCTTGGATTTTACTGCATAATTTAAAATATACACATAAATAAGATATATAGGTCGTGATAGAATAATACAAAAGAAAGCATTTTGTTAACATTATCGTTAGCGTAGGAGTTCGAAAGGACCCAGACTCAATTTTATTTAAACCGCTTGTTCGCTGTTCTACTGAATATGGGAACTTTTTATTAGCAAAAATATTATATTTATTATCGAGTTCTTAGGTGTTCCCGATTGTTACACAGGAAATGAAACTATTTTTCCGAATCGCGTATATTTGTTTTTTCAAATAAACTAACGTTTGAACCAGAAGATGGCCCGGAACACGATTGACTAAACTACGCTCGAAGAAAAACACAACATTTTCATTTTTTATGTTCGTCTACGGAAAAAATTGTGTCATTCCATTGTTATTAGAGGTATTCCAATTAAAATTTATCTCGGGTATTCGGGAATAAGTATGTCAGGGAGCTTATTTTATGTCATTCCTAAAATATATTTTATTTCTTAAAGGCAAATGTTTCATTATCGTGCAATAAACTTCTCCGCGCCCATCTCACACATTTCGCCTTAACACGACTCATGTTGTTAAGTGTGGTAAGTCCTTTATTATGCCGTTTGTAATGTGAGATTTCTTTACACCTAACGACAGCATGTTACGTAAAAATATACTGTTTATTTGTACATTCGTATTTCTGATTATAATTTTACAAGGTAACCAAGATAAAAATATCATAATAATAAATTATTAATTCTTACTTATCATTACCGTACTCTTTATTTAATACGCAGTAAGATTGCAAAGAAAAAAGTTATTTATAGACATACTATAAACGTTCCGGTTTCGATTCCCAGAAGGAACAATTTATAACACTAACTATTCCAAATTAGCTGTGGTCTGGATGGTTGTTCAGGATAGTGTCCCTGGGGTTAATTTCCTGCCTCTTGAACCGATAGTACAGGAAATTGCCTAGATTAAGACATTAATCAAGTTAATTAAAATTAATTCAACCGAAATCTCGTTATACGACTTTACTGAATGGTAGAAACTTGGAACTGGAACTAAGACTTTCTGACGAAAGAAATAAGGTCTTAAGTCGCTTTGAAAGACAAACATTATCCACTAATTGTCTTTGTGTTGCCTTTTTTACTATATCAATGATAACCGTGGCAGCATGGTCTACCGCCTCTCAAGCAGAGGGTTGTGGGTTCTAATCCGGGCATAAACATTTTTGCAATCGATAGGCGAAATTTAATTAATTTGAAATTTGCCATAAGTGAAGCTATTGGGCACGCGTGGGAAAGCAATGAGGAAGAAAGAAATGATTGTACGAGGAAGCTTCTGCCCAGCAGTGGGACTATATAGGCTAACTACTTCCATTACCTTTTTTATTAACTTATTGACAGAAAGAAATTTATACGAGCTACGAATTAACACTCCAAGTTGTAAATACGTTGACGGGAAAAAAGTCCTGAATTCATTCTAGGTAAGGGGTTATATTTAAGGACATTTTGTTAAAAAGGTATTTCCATTTAGTTTTTACGCAAGACGATAAGTATCATAAATTAATATCATATTTGCGTCTCCGTGTATGATAAAGATGTATTTCCTCTTGTGTGTACACATTATTATTCTTACAAATAGACGTCATGATTATAATTAGAACTGATCTTGAAAACAATATAAAACAGAACAAACGAAGAAAGAATGTTTATTAAAGCCTCGTTTGCAATTTGGTTAGTAACTATTTGACACAATATGTCAAAGTAAGCAATGATGGGACACGATCAGTGAAATGGAGAATTTATGTTAAAATACATCGACTGACCTATGACATACAAATCAAGATTATATCATGGTAAGAACTGAAATCAACTCATATGATTTACTATTAGTAGTAGCAGATGATGAAAAAGTAAGTCGAAGTAGAGGTCCTTGTGAATAAATTCGCCCAAGGAAAGTACCTTACTTAGTAACCTTACCTATTTCTGCCGCCAAGCAGTAACGCTCACGTTACTGCGTTCCGGTTTTGAAGGGTAAGGGTGCTGATGAAATTATAGGCACGTGGGACTTGGTATTTTCTCTGAGGGTGACGGATGCAGGGGCAGTGTCAGGTCTTTACGATTTAAAACTCTAAGTGTCGTTCGCGCACGACTTGTTCGTCCCATCGCTCCGTGTTACAAAAAAAAACTGACTGAAGAACTGTTTGACATGATGTCAACAGCAACATTATATCACCGCATCCCTCGCCACCGGCAGGGAGTCCATCCACACACTCTGAAATCTCGTACTCTACGGTTTCAGAGAAGCTTTCTCCCACGTACAATTAGGTTATGGAATAAACTTCCTGTCGGGGTTTTCCCGCAGGAGTCTGGCTAGCAACGCGGTCGTAACGCCGCTAGCGTTCCAGGCGTTCATAGGCTATGGTGACCGCTTTCTATCAGGCAGGTTGTATGTTTGTTTGCTGCCTATTTAATATAACATTAAAATTAAAAGGGCTCCACGGATAATGACGAAAAAGCGTGGCGTCACTGTATGTTAATTTCCACTACAATTTTTGTAAATGTAATCGATCATACCTAAATAAAAAACACGCAATTTAGCCGCAAAAATACAAAGTTTAAAAATATTACGAAATATTTACGATAAACATATTAACATTAACATATACATATATTTAATATTAGTATAAACATATTAAAAAACCGCCGAATCATTTCTTAACTATATGAGTTGATCGACTCCATGTTTTCGATGTTTATTTTCGTCAGACGTAACTTAATTATGTTTTTAAAATGAGCGTTAATAATATTCCTTAGTGAATTCACTCCAACAGTGACGTGTATGTAATGGATGGCAACGTAAATAGTCGTAAAAAAAATATTTTTTCATCACACTTGCTCGTAAATAGTATGATTCCATGATGGCTAACTTGTCTATAATACTTTCCGGCCTTTTTTCTTTTAATTACAGCCATGATCGACATGATACACGACAGACTTCCTTACATAAGTCAGGTTCAAGTGCAAGCAAGGAGGTTACTTATGTTCAAAATGAAAACATTCGCTTGAAATGTTATCTAAACAGAAATGTAATTGCAATTCAGACACATACTATTTAAATATTATTAAGAATTTCTTATAATTTTTTTCTTAAATTTTTTTTTAGATTCTAACATGGCATTTTACCAACATTTTAGTTTGGGTTGTATTATCTATGGAAAATTTAAATAAAACAAAAATACCCGCCATTGGAAAAATCCATTATTGTTGTGTTGTGAACCATATGGTTACGTCTTACATCATGATGAAAAACATAGCACGTTAGTAATTTCTTATTCCTTAATACACAATGCACTATTCTTCCGTATTTAAAAAAATATTTGTAAGCCGCTTTGTTTTAAAAAAAAAATCAGGTTTTAGGGGGTTGTAAATCTCGTGTCGCTGATACTAGTCACGTTAATAACTCAATTTCCCTAAAAATGTAGATTACATTAAGGCAGTATTGTTAAAAGTGGTTTAAAAGTAACCTGTGAAACTTCTTGGCATTACAAATGTGAAGAACTTCAAAGAAAAAGCTTTAGTAAAAATTTTATGATACTGACGTTATGAACTTACCAGTTTGGAATGTATTGTCGTTAATGAATCCGGGCACAACGTTCTGCTCGAAGTCCAGCATATCAAAAGTGTCCTCGACCACTTCGTTGCAGCTATTTGAGCCCTCATTGGAGTCTTGTATGACGACATCTTGGGCCGGGCTGGTGGGTTCCAGCACTTGGTTTTGTTCGTCGTCGCAGGAATTTTGGATGAGGAATGGCGAGAGTTGCTGCTCGAAGTCACTACAAAGAGGAATTTGAGTTTACACAATGTCGTCGTCATGTAAAACGTTGGCGGTTGTTGGTTTTAGAATAAACAATTCTATTTTTAAATTTGAATTACTTCCGAACTACGAAGCTTAAGCCTCTGTACGCCATTTTGAAATATTTTAAAAATACATTGACTTAAAACTTTTTTTTATGGCAATTTAATCTATCATGGGACTATGGAACTTCGCAACTCATTAAATCAACAATTACGTATTACGTAATACGTAAGGACTTTAAAATAGTGGACAGGATCTACACTTGAAAAAAAAAAAAACTTTGATGACTGATAGCCGGCAGATAAGTTTGGGTCCCATAACAAAAAAAAAATTTATTGTCACAGAGTACTAAATGACAATATAAACTTAACTGTAATGGATACTAAAGACCTCTGTCGTTTGTCAGCAAACAAACATTTTTCCTGAGTGTAGGTTAAATGCTCAATTGACTCGGCGTAAAATGCAAAAATCAGAATTTTATAATTTAACTTGTACGAAGTTATAAACAGACTGTACAAAACGTGTAGTTTACGAAATCACCAACACGCAACGGGCCGGGGCGTTGCGGCATTAACTCTCTAGTAAGAAGAGACCATAGCTCGTCAGCGGGACTTATAATAAGTTGACGATGATGTTTTAACACTTATGATATTACCGCGCAACCTTCGTGAAGAATTGGTCATTTATCAGGCATAGATATCGAAATGCAAATAAAAATATAACGAGGACATACTGCAAATGGACTGTAATCAATAACAAGATCCTTGATAGAGTCAATCACAACATGATTAAATTCTTTACTAACAATTGTTGCTGCAATAATAAAATTGTACTTGTTGCCATTATTATGCTTAAATGGCTCGGATGAAAACAAGTGACATTTTATCACGTTAAAAACATAATGAATGTTGCATTAACTTTTTTTTCAGTGCGAGTTTCTTATTGACCCTAAAATGCCTCCGTGGCCGAACGATTAACATGTTGGTCTTCCACTCAAAGGTCCCGGTATCGATCACCGGGCCGGGAGAAATTTTTGTATGGCTTACATTTATTTCTCTCGTGAGTTTGGGTGTAATTTGTGAGTGTCTATGTGTGTCCATGGCACCCGTGACACAGGGTTTCCCTAGTGCGGGGCTATGAGTGTGTGGGTATTCGTTATTATTACTGAGTGATGCTTTTAAGAAAATTTTTGTATTTAATGTTTATTGATTTAGTTCAGACTCGCGTCACTTGCGAAGAACTAACGCGACATTAAGCTGTATTTCCTACTCTAGGACACGAAATGTTCAAATGTGGAAAAAATACATTATTTAAATACGCGACCTATATTTATAATTTGCTATATGTCTTTAAATGGACGGATGGAAGTGCCTTCACCGCGTTGACCTTTAAAAAGTCGCAAGCGCATGACGAGTACACTCTTACCTTACAAGTTATCAAGGCAAGGTGATGAAAAGGGCAGCGTTATACGCTACAGTAAATCCTGGACAACTTTTAAGCAGTAAATATAGTACCAAAACAGGATAAAAAAAAGTAAATCACGATATTTCCCGCATTTCTAAGTCAAAACTAGCCCGTAGTTATGTACACGCATCGAAAGTGTTTAGGCATCAAGATAGTTTTTTTTTAAATATTTGATTACTCCATTAAACTTAATTATTGTATCATTATATTAACTGCCTCCGTGGCCGAACGGTTACCATGCCGGACTACCACGCAGAGGTCCCAGGTTCGATTCCCGGGCCGGGAGAAATATTTCTATGGCCTACATTTATTTGTCTCGTGAGTTTGGGTGTAATTTGTGGTTGTCTATGTGTGTCCATGGCACCCGCGACACAGGGTTTCCCTAGTGCGGGGCTATGTCGAGTGTGTGCGTTATTATTATTATTATTAATAATAATAATACAAAGATCGAACACACAGAAAAAATTCTTGCACCGTAGCAAAAACAAAATTTCTATGTGTTCGATCTTCATAACAAATCAACAAACAATCATAACAAAACTCATCATCGTCAAACTTAAGACTTATAGTCTTGTCGATGGAGCATCTTCCAGTAATCTCTCTTATAAGCCAGCTCACGACACGACACCGGCCTTTTCCTTTATTTGGTCTATGTAACTGCTCCTAGGTCGACGCCTTCCCCTCGATCTTTCCCTCCAAAATGGTCTTAAAGAAGTTGTCATATCAAATGTCCAATCATGTGTCTATACTCTATAGTATTCAAGACCATTCTTTTCTCGTTTACCATTCTCGATACTCCATCATTGGTTTTCTTTTCTATCCAACTTATGCCCTTCATCCTACTCCAGCACCACATCTCAAAAGCTTCTAATCTTCAACATTTAATAACAAAACTAGTGGAGTTTTTTGACAAAAAATCTGTGTTAAAAAAATTAATTAAAAAAACCTGATTTTCAGTAATTGGCAAAACCGTGCTTGATTCCTAGACACTTTTGATGTGTATATATACATAAATATGGACTAGTTTTACCATAGAAATGCGGGAAATTTGTATTTCGTGACCTATTTCTGCCGCCAAGCAGTAATGTCAGCATTATTGTGTTCCGGTTTTGAAGTGTATGGGTGCTAGTGAAATTAGGCATATGAGACTTGTCAACATACATCTCAGGGTGACGGGCGCAGTGGTAGTGCCCCACAGATCTTTGCAATTTAAAGGTCTGAGTAGCAATGTAATTGTTATACACAGGCGTGTAGCTTACCATCAGACACAAGACTCGTTCGTCTCGTCACTTGATAAGAAAAAAAAAACAAAACAAAAATGAAAAAGAAGTTTCTGCTGTCATTGTTCCCTTAAATATATTCGTTCGCAACATTCACAAAAAAGCGCTGATAACTCAGTGGGAAAATGGTTGTGTCTCAATTGAGCGGTTGACGGGTCGAACATCTTGTCATAACTAACGCATTTGCATTTTGGTAACTTTGGAGATATTGGCACTGTCAAATCTGTCACTGTCAATCATGACGATTTTGCTTAACAATAAGAAAAATAGTCTTAAAATATTTAGGTAATGTTTTAAAATTAAATTTAAAACAAGACGTATATATTCTAAAACAGTCGTGAAAAACTAAAATAAGCCCCTGACATTTTTTTCGAAATGGCGCTTTCGCCATTTCTACAAAACATCGACGACATATACTTGAATAATTTTTAACCAGTTTAAGTTTACTGAGCAAAGATAATAAATACTATAGCTAGTAATATAAAATATCCTCCCACAGAAAGTCATATTATTTTACGCGGCATGCATTCAATTTAAAGTTAGTGTCGACTTCATTAAACAAAATACGATGTATGTAGGCGTCCACGTGTTGATCTCTATATTTATAGTAGCTGTTGATACGTACATGTTGTCACTGCAGTGCGTACGAAGTTCTGATTAGAAGTGGTGCACGATGGCGGAAGTGCATATCATTTCTCATATAGTAAACTGATATTCAAATTCAAAACATAGCATGGCAGTATATCACATGCAATGTGAGATAAAACCGCCCGTGACTTATTTATTTCAGTTGATAAAGCTATGTTGCCATTATTAATTTTTTTAGGTAAAATACCCCCTAGAGTAATTCATTCTTTTATTTATTTGGTAGAGAACTGTTGTTATACATTTTGAAGAACAAGGATAACGATATGAAATTGCGTATATAGGCTCTCTTCTCTTTGTCGTTTAATCATCAAAACGACGAAGGTTATCATTTACATATTTCTAATCTAATCACTCTCAAATATCACATGTAAAAACAACTTGAAAGATGTAAACGGAGCTCTTCCTTTCATTTTTGTCATTCAAGTATGCAGAAACAATAGAATAATCCTTATGTGTAAAGGCTCTGTTTCATGTCAGTTTTAAGATTATGAAATGACAATTTTTAAATATGAATGGGAAGATATGTATATTTATTAGAAGCGTTTACATGTCATGTTAGAGTGAATCCATTATTTGTACGGACAATTGAAATTGTGGACGTGGTTTAAAAGAAAGCGTATATCTCAAATGGGACTGATTCAGATCCTTATTATAAAGATGAAGAGACGGCTGTTCAATTATTTTGCTGGTGACAAAGTTTTGTGTCTTTGCAAAACACGCCCGGATAGGTACCGCACTACCAAATTTTAGAGCGGCATTATTCTAAAAATCAAGATTAGTATGAAGAGTCATGCAATCATAGGCATTAGAGGTTGAAGATCTGGGTAGCGCATTTGTTATAATATATTTTCCACCAGCTAAACCGAATGATTTTCAGTTCGACGACAGTAGATGTGCGACTATTAAATAAGTGTTGTGCTGATACAGTCATGGTGTTTCTTCTCACTTAAGAGCTAAGTTCTGGTCAGTGGAGGCCCAATATTGATTACCTAATAAGATACGAATGTTTACTTTTTCACTTATCTGATCTAAATAACTTCGTTCAGATCTTCCCTTCTCTATTGCTTCTAAGATACTGTTGCATCGTATCAGATGCCCAAATATCTTTCCCAACGCTTCTCTATTATCTTTACTAAGCTCTTCTTCTGCATTATTCTTAGCATCTCCTCACGATTTTTCTTTCTGTCCAAGTGGTTCCATTCATTCTTCTAAAAAAGATATCAAATGCTTCCAATCCTCTGACACGTGTCATGCATTGTCCCAAAGGCTGAACAAATTTCTTGGTTAAAATACCCTGTATTATCACAGAGCGTTGGTGAAACAAAGGTTATTTCCAAACAAATGTAAGCCCCTTATCAGAGCTGTATCAGTAAACGGGTGCGATTTTAAACACGCGTTTAAAGACTGCTTATCGTTCACGGATATTACTATTCTTCGTGTCGTGATATTAGAGTATATTTCCTAACATTACATTACTGCATCCCGGTTTTGAAGAGTAAGTGTGATGGTTAAACTGAAGGTACATGGGACTTGTGAACGTTATTACGTCTCAGGGAGATGGGCGCAGTGCTAGCGCCTCTCGGAT